TATGACCTTGAGTCGACCAGAAGAAAAAAAATATTTTTGCGAGATTATTAATTTCCCTTATTTCAATTTGTCGAGGTTCTACTGTCACTAGGATTTAACGCTAATTAATTTTGTTTAGTATAAAAAATATAATCCAGAGCATGTGTTTAAAACGACAAGAAGAGCGATATGGTGTCAGCCTCCATCTTATATTTAAAATATTTATATATCCTAGAATAATTAATATATATTCCTTATTCTTTTTAATATTCACGCCAAGATCTCAAATTGCAGATAAATATTCAAATTTGAAAAAGAAAATGATACGGAAATAGGAGCAACATGTAAATATTAAAAATATATAGTGGTATATTTATAAATTTAAAAAATGTTACAACGTTAATATGTATACTTGTACAAAAAAAAATATTAGAACACCTATAGAACTAGAAGTTAGAAGGAGAAACAAGATTCAAGATAGATGTATTATTTTTGTCGAAACGCATTTCTAGTTTTTATTATTACTATAAGCGCCCTGAAAACTTTTAAATATTTACGCCGAAGCACTTCGGACAAGATATTTCGGTTTTCCGAAACATGTCCGAAACGCGAAAATGCAGTTTCCGAGAATGAGATGTTTTTACTTATTCCGTGCGAAAAAACACGAAATCTAGAACCACCTAAACTTGGGGTCGGCAAATATTGGGGCAATTAGCAAATAGTGGTAGACCTACTATTTTGGTACCACTTGTCTACTGAATTACTGTGCAATAATTTCAGACATATATATACTTTTTTTACCTTCTCAGATTAGTGATGGATTCTAGTTCTTGGAAACTACTATATATAATTATAAACTCTCTCTCTCTCTCTCTATCTCTCTTCTCTCTCTACAGCTGCATGCATATGAATAATTGGTTAGCAAAAATCTAAAAAAGTTGCCTAAAAAGGAAAGAATATGTGAATGATGAAACTCCATTGTCTTGCCAAATAGAAAATAAACTAAGGATATGAAAATCATGGTTAAAATTATTATTATTATTATTATTAGTGTTTAAGATAAAAAAAAAAAACAGTGTTATGTAATGTTACGCTGCCCCTCCATTACTTCACAGGCTGTGAAGAGGCCCTCGAAATTCGTGTTGAAACCCGACACTTGCAGATAACTCCAATCTTTCCCCCATGTGGGATTTTCTCTCTCCTCTCTCTCTCTCTCCTCTCTCCTCTTTCTCTCTCTAACTGCTCAACTAATTAGTTATGCTGCTCTGTTCATGATCCCTGTTCTCACTCTCTCTTCACTCTTCGCCCATTAATTCTTTCTCCAAATTTCAGTTTTTTTCTTTTTTCTAAAAATGTGGGATTCAGAAACAGAATCTGTAGGAGGAGGGAGAGATTACTGCAATGGCGGCGGCGGCGGCGGAGGACTCTCTTCCACCAACAAACCTCGTGTCGAAACAGATGGATTTGAGCAAAGAGGCCAATCCTGGTACGTTGCTACTGATATTCCCAGTGATCTCTCCGTTCAGATTCAAGATGTCGGCTTCCATCTCCACAAGGTTCAATTAATTCTTCAAACAAAATTCATTTAATTCAATTCCCCTGATCATGCAACTAATTATTATTACTATTAATGTAATTTAGTACCCACTTCTTTCTCGGAGTGGGAAGATGAACAGGGTAATATACGAATCGCGAGAAATTGAGCTGAATAAAGTTGCCCTAGATGATCTCCCCGGCGGCCCCGAGGCTTTCGAGCTCGCCGCCAAGTTCTGCTACGGCGTCGCCGTCGATCTCTCCGCCACCAACATCTCCGGCCTCCGATGCGCCGCTGAGTATCTCGAAATGACGGAGGATTTAGAGGAAGGTAACCTAATTTTCAAAACCGAAGCTTTCCTAAGCTACGTCGTTTTGTCCTCCTGGAGAGATTCGATCGTCGTTTTGAAAAGCTGCGAGAAGCTCTCCCCATGGGCGGAGAATCTCCAGATCGTCCGCCGCTGCAGCGAATCGATCGCCTGGAAAGCGTGCGCAAACCCTAAAGGAATCAAATGGCAGTACACGGGTCGACCCGCCCGGTCAGTTTCCAGCCCTAAATGGAACGATATGAAGGATTCGAGCCCTAGCCGGAACGGAACCCCCGTCCCCTCCGATTGGTGGTTCGAGGACGTCTCGATTCTGCGGATCGACCATTTTGTTAGGGTAATTACGGCGATCAAGGTCAAAGGCATGCGCTACGAGCTGATCGGCGCCGCCATCACACACTACGCGAACAAGTGGCTCCCCAATCTGGCCAAAGACGGCGGCGACGGCGGCGGAGATGGAGTCGGCGGCGGCGGGGACAGCTGGCAGAAGGGCGGGGGTCTGCACATGATAATCGCCGCCGGGAACAACAAGGACGAGAGCTTTCTGCCGGCGGCGATGCAGGCGAAGGACCAGAGGATGATCGTGGAGAGCCTGATCAGCATAATCCCGCCGCAGCGGGACTGCGTGTCGTGCAGCTTCCTCCTCCGGCTGCTGAAGACCGCCAACATGTCGAAGGTGGCGCCGGCGCTGGTGACGGAGCTGGAGAAGCGGGTCGGGATGCAGCTGGAGCAGGCGGCGCTGGCGGATCTACTGATACCCTGCTACAGCAAGAGCGAGGGTTTGATGTATGACGTGGACCTCGTCCAGAGGCTTCTGGAACATTTCCTGGTGCAGGAGCAGACGGAGGGGTCGAGCCCTAGCCGGCAGTCGTTCTCGGAGATGAAGATGTACGACGGCGCTCAGAGAGGGGTCAATTTGAGCGCCAAATTGAGGGTGGCGAGGCTTCTCGATGGGTACCTCACGGAAGTTTCCAGAGACCGGAACTTGTCGCTGACGAAGTTTCAGGTTCTGGCGGAGGCGTTGCCGGAATCTTCTAGAAGCTGCCATGATGGCCTGTACAGGGCGGTTGATTCTTATCTTAAGGTACTTTTTCCTCCTCCACTGTTTCGTGTTAACTGTCAGTTTTGGGTGAATAGAAAAGACTAACTCGCCCTTCTCATAATTTTTATTTTCATTTATCCACTAGTTAAATGTAGGGGTAAAATTGGAAAAATAATATTTACTGCATTTTTTTGGAATTTTAAATGAACAAATAATATGGAATTAAAAAAAAAAACATTCTCGAATGCCACAATTAATTTGAAATAAAATAAATGGAGTACTATACTCAAATATTGTCTCCAACTTGTATTCTTGTTTATTGCAAATTTTGAACATTTCAAGAATTCAAGAATCAATACTTTCATCATATGTTATTTTAATTGATACATTAGAACTACTCCCTCTATGCTATAATACATCTATTCTTAATTAGTTACCTCATAAATAATTAATGATAAGGGTAAATGGGTAATTTTACATACGTAATTTACGAATATTTATTGATTTTCTTAATACGTGCGCAATAATCTAGCAAAAACATCATATAATACGGGGAGAGTAGGTTGTAAGATCAAAATACGAAAATACAATGTAAAAAACCATATAAATGAATGTATTATTAAGAGAATCGTAATTATTAGTGAGTCATTATATGAAACAAGAATTATTAGTGTTTATTGGAAATTGGCATATTTCAAGAATCATTAATTTCATGATTATATATTTCAAGATTTACACTCAAATCTATCGCTTCAAACACACAACTATATTGCAGACATGAAAGTACTAGGTAAATTTAAAACCATATAAGTGAACCCCTTTGTGCATATTAACCGCGGGTTTTTTTCAAACTAACCCTCGTTTTTTTCGCTTTTCGTTTCATTTAAGGAAAAATCTAATATCACGTGCTAACGGCAAAAAATCCAATTTTGTTACAGGCACATCCAACTCTTACAGAACACGAGAGGAAGAGGCTATGCCGAGTAATGGACTGTCAAAAACTCTCGATCGATGCATGCATGCACGCAGCCCAAAACGAGCGACTCCCACTACGAATAGTAGTCCAAGTCCTCTTCTCCGAACAAGTCAAAATAAGCAACGCAATAGCCAACACATCCTTAAAAGACGACGGTGAATCGCATTACCAGCCTTTGGTATCCAATCGAAAGACATTACTCGAAGGAACTCCTCAATCATTTCAAGAAGGGTGGGCCAGCGCGAAAAAAGACATAAATACCCTCAAATTCGAACTCGAGAGTGTGAAGGCGAAATATTCGGAGCTACAAAACGATATGGATACTTTGCAGAGACAGTTCGATAAGATCACGAAGGTGAAACAAACGACGACTTCGTCGGGTTCGGCTTGGAGCAGTGGGTGGAAGAAGCTGAGCAAGCTGACTAAGGTTACGGAAACTAATGACGTTGGATCGCACGTCGCAAATGCTGATGTCATTAAAAAGGCTCCTAGAAGGTGGAGGAACTCTATTTCTTGAAGCTTCAACTTATATTAATTGTTCTAAGGTTTTCTTTTCTTTTTTTTCTTTTTTTTCCTTGATATATTTGTTGAGGTTTTTCGGGAGGATTGTTTAATTTTTTATGTAACTTTGTTGCTATTGGTTTTTTTTTTTACTTGTCTTATCTCTTCGGAAGATATATATCAAGTTTGTGTATCTTTTTTCTTTTTATCAAGATTTTCTTTTATCCAACTCTATTAAACATTAAATCTCTGTTATCACCTCATTTAATGGTACAGGTTATATTAATTTTTTTATGTATTCTATGTCTCACAATATTTGTCTTCTTGGAGAATTATTTTAATTTTGCCTTAAATTATTTGTCACTTTAGAATTATAATGAAGTATTGACTCGGTTTTTTTTTTTTTTTTTTATAATGTTGCCATTTATTTCTTTTAATTAGTTATTTAAGAAACAGTTACTAACACGAATATTTTAGTGACTTTTTATATTTTTTGATGCAGATTTGATGAAAACACACACACACGCACAAACACATAAATACTGCATGCTGTGGCCTGTGTGTGACTGTCAGATTTGATACGTGCTTGTCAATTAGTAATTAATTAATTAATTAATGAATAAACCAGGATTGGAAATTATTAAGGCAGGATTATTTAAAGTCTAAAAAGATAGTATCCGTGTGCATTACACATGCCCATGCAGATAACATATTAATATTAAAATTTAAGCATACGGAATATAATTAAATGTTTTCAACCATCATTAATTTAAGCAAAGGTAAAAAGAAACAATTACTTAGATATGGAGGACTGAGGAGTAATTATTAATGAATTAACGAACGGTTAATTATTGCTAGGGGTGTAAAAGAATCGAGTCGAGGTTTTATCGAGTAGAACATGAAACAAGCTCGAGGCGAAAGTTATAGCTTATCAAATATAATGAACACATTTATTCAAGTTTGATTTGTTATGTTTAACAAATTGAACTCAAACAAAGTTTTTAACGATCGATCTCGAATTTAATATCGAGTAGCTTCTCGATCGGACCTCAAATCTTGTGCTATTGATAACTAACTAAGAAAGCAGCTGCTGTTAATATGAGAATTAGTGGCTGTCATATTCAATCCATTTCCAATATATAATAGTACTCGTCTTAATTTCACAACCATTTCTTGAATACAAACCTAATAAAAAAAAACCATTTTGAATATAAATTCAATAGGCAGCACCAAATGCTAATCATTCCTCATTTTACCTTTTCTTTTTTTTATTGATTCTTTTTCTCTCCATGTTATTATTAGCAAACAAGTTAAATAGATAGTATGATATCAAATAGTATCAGAATAAGCTTGTTAAAAAAAGATAATTTTGATTTTTTTTTTTTTTTTTTGCCAAACTAAAGTGTATATAATTTTTTTTAATATGCAAGTCAAGATTAATTATTAATAAATAAAAAATAATAATAAATAAATAATAGCAGTCTGGAAATCCTGAACAGTAATTGGGCCCACTCCATCACGAGAGCTGGATAAAAGCAATCACAGTAGATATCATTTTCTTATCAATAAAGCCACAAACCCTGTTCATCTCTCTAAAACAAAATAAATAATAATAATAATAAATAAATAAATAAAACACACAAACGACAAAACTTGTAAAACGGCTTCAAAAATTTAATAATTAGTCATATAAATTGTTCTTTAATTTACGTATAAAAGAAAAAAAAGATCTCAAAATTAGAAAATTAAAAATAAACCTTTATTTTTTATTTTCGGTTTGCAAATTAAATAGGCAAAAATCTCCAAAAGTACAACTTCCAAAGTACCAACAGTAATAATCAAACAAAGTAGAATCTCATTACAATCACAACAATAATAGTAACAGCAGTACAATTTATTACAAAACCAAACCACCTCAAAAACACTTGGAATTAGAAAATACACCAAAGTACAAACCTGAAACACTCCCAAACAAACACAACATTTTACAGCAGAATTAAAAAAAAAACCAGCAGCTGATGATAAATTGGTGTAAACCAATTCATGATTGAATCTTGCAGCAAAAGGGGTCCCTCACCCCCCACCCCCCAACCCCACCCCCACCCACCCAACCAACCAATATATCTTCTTGCTTCACTCAATTGATGAAAGGCCAAATTCAAGAACTTTTTTCAAAGAAGAAAAAGAAATCATTTTTAAAATCAAGAATGGAGAGAGAGAGAGAGAGAGAGAGAGAGAGAGTGGGACCCATAATCACCAAACGCGTGCTCTCATTCAAAGGCGATTTTCTCAACAATCCCCGGAGCAAAAAGGGGCTTCTTTTTTTCTCCCCTCATTTACAGCAAAGCAAAGCAAAGCAAAACACCACTACCTCCATACTTAACTTTTTAATCCACCCCCTCCATAAAAAAGCTTAAGAAATAATCATTTCAAGTCAACAATTATAGGCCCAAATTTTCTTCACCACCTCGAGAGTAAAAGAAAGATTTCTCATCCCCCCCATTAACCTCGTCTCCCATTCGCCCGTTTCGTAGCCAAAAAGCTACCTAAAGCTTCATTAATTAAAAGAAAAAAGGAAAAGAAGAAACCCCCACCTTACTGCACTTTCAAATCCCATCAACAATCTTTATTCAAACACACACTTAATAGCATCTGTCACTACCCGTTGGCCCCAGTGAACCAACCGGGTCCCACCCCTCCAACCAACCGTTTTTAAGTTAAACCGGCCGACGGAACGCACTCGGTGGTGGTGTAGCCAACTCCGAGAGCTTCCGCTTCATTTTTCATCGATTCTAAATAACCAATAGCTTTTTCGATTATCGAGAGGGGATCTTTGCTCTCTAATCCAGGGATTATACTCTCAAGGATCTTCAATGCTTCCATGACTTTGATACCCTTCTTCTCTCTCTTACCCCCGGAGTTTCTAGGTCCGGCGTAACTCGATTCCGCATCATCATCATCATTATATGACGATTTCTTGTACCCACCATTAATCAATCTTTGCCTTTTTGGTGATTCGTCAGAACTAGCCACTTCTTCCACGAGTTCCTCGAGTAATTTGCCTTTATCAAAAGAACCCTCTTTATAAATATTATTATTGCTAATTAATGCAGAGTCCCTCGTGCTAGTTGCTTCATCATTCCCATCATCATCATAATCATCATCATCATAATCGCTATCGGAGTAGAGCAAAGCATTGATTTCTTCACTATCTTCAAGCATATCACCTTCTCCATCATCATTCAAATGACTCTCGTCCAATTTTTCTGGCTTCACCAAGAATTGGCGATCTAATCGAGATTCATTGATGATTTGATCCTTTGGGGGAAATGAAGGACTAAAGAACAGTCTTGTTTGATTTCCAGACCGATCAAAAATGAGAAACCTTTTCTGAGGGGCAGTTTGGGAATCTTTAACACAATGGTCCCCACTAGGATATAAGGTGTTATTCCAGTATGGAGGTACGGCTTTGAAAGATCCACCAACTGCGTTCGGTTGGCCTGAGTTCGGACAACAAAGATCGGGATTAGGTTGTCCAGGAAAAGTAACAGCAGCAGTAAAGGCGGGATTTTGCTCTCGCTGTATAAGTGCCATATGATCCAAATCGGGTAAATTCCAAGCAGTAAACTGCTGACACCTCTGTGAATCTTTGGTTGTAACCATCCAGTCGAAAGAGCAACCTAGAATACATTGTTTGGACAATGGTTCCAAAAACTCAGTTCACGGAACAAGATAATCTTGGAACAGGCAACACTGAACAAATGCTAAACGTACCAGAAATAATGCTCCGATGTGTAGTCCAGCAAATAGATTTATCTCGGATATTCTAAACAAATGAAGAAAAAAAACAGGAACACAATATATCGCTATCTTAAAGTGAAAGGCGGAAACTTGGAACGAGTCTACGTCACAGGTTTCAGCAACTGACGGAAATATTCAGCCTAGAAAAGCAGAGCAAAATGCAAAAATTAGCATTCCATTCAATTCTCATCTCAAGTGTAAAAATCAGCAATAAGTTGATAGATAGAAAGAATATCGAAGATGACATATTGAAAACAAGAACCAAAATGCCAAAAATACAGCGAACAAACCTGGCAATTTTGTAGAGGTTGAAAGCATGCTATAATTCTAACTATAATGGTTGTTCTCCCAGAAATCCCATGTTCATGTTTAAGTGCTCTAAATCTCGTCTGGCTTGCTGCTTGGCACACCATAACTACTTTTGAATTTTTAGAGGACTTCAGAAGGAAAATTAGAATGTCGAGTGCACAAAGGACAGGAAAATGAGTGATGAATGCTAAATAAAGGACAGGAGAAAATCAAGCTGAAAACAAAGAGGAATGTGTCTAAAGAAATCTAGTTTAGGAAACAACCTTGAACAACAAAATCAAAAGATAACAAGATAAAAAAAAAACGATGAACTAAATTATAGATATTGAGATATTGAGATAGATTTGATGGGCTAGAGTAGTTTTGAATGCTAAATCTAATGGCCAAATTATAGAATGTAGAAGAGGCAAACATAGGAAGGAAAGCGATTGGTTCCCATGGATATATAATTAAAAGGATAAAAGGAAACGAGGGCTAGGTTTCAACGGGAAGAATCGCAAGTTTTAGAATAACCCTGCAGTACAAATTCAAGGAGATAACAAAAACGTTAATCAGCAAGCTCAACCCCCGCATGTTTCTCCCTACCACATCCCCTTTGCAATCGTATGAACTAGAATCGTATACCAAACGACCTGAAATTATAGCAATAACAGCATTTTGTGAGGTCAATTAGATCAATCAGTTGTCATTTGAAACAAAACACCCACACACACCCACACCCACCCCAAAAAAAAAAAAAAAAGAGGAACCATACTTTCTGCATCTTCTCCAGATCGGAGAAGAAGAAAAATCAAGTACTGAACACAAAAATGGTGAAAACCCTAACCAATTTATACGAGACTGAAAATATGCAAAATTAGCGAATCAAAAAAAAAAAAATAACCGACTGCGTTTTATGGCTGAATTAAAAACCTGATTAATTCATCAATTAATTACACCCCAAAAAAATTCAAAACGGAACTCATCAAATTCAAAACAAATTACTTTCCTTTCCTGGGTAACGAAGAAAATTAATGAAGAGGCGAATCCATCAGAAAAAAAAAAGCAAATCAAAACCGAAAAGCCAGAACAAAAAATTCAAAACCGATGACTGAAAACAAATATGAACAACTTACAGATCGAGATAGAAGAGCGTCCGAAGCTTCACAAATTTTTCTTCTGGTGATGAACAGTGAATAGTGGTAGTGAGAGATTCTGATGAAATGGGTGGAAGATAGAGAAGATGAACAGTATTTTTTGGATATCAATTGAATGTAGTAGGCACTCTTCACAAATGGGGTTTGCTCTGATTATATAATACATTCAATGACCATAATACCCTTTTTCCTACTTTTAGATTCCTCCACAATTTTTATTTTTTATTTTTTATTTTTTAAATTTACTTTTCTTCCATTAATTAAATGTTCTTTTCATTCGTCTAAAATTTATTTATTTGATAACGAAAAAATTTCAACCAATCATACATTGGAAAATTAGTTGTGATTAACTAAATAATTAATTAGAATATTATTTCTTAATATTCTTAATACATGTAGATAAATATTAGACAATACTTAATTTAAAAATGAATGTATGTAATATTATCTAAGAAAATTAAGATTAGTGTGAAATACAAATACTTAATTATCAATTTGCCTTAATACGTATGATGTTATTCTAAAGGTTCAAATGTGCATGGAAAAAATATATATATTTTTTAATAGTTCATGGTTACATATATAATATGGGTATTATTAATAATATAAAACTATTACTGATTCGTGGATACTGAAATAATGGAGGTTGATTAAATAAATACTATGTTTGACTTCAACGAGTCTACTCTAATTTGTCTTTATTACAGAAGTGTGTGAGAAAACAAATTATTGCAATTGTAGGGAAGAAAAAATGCCGACAATCAAAAGCTACCAAACTATGAAGAATTATTCATAATAGTTCATAATAGTCCTGCTGTAAGAGATATCGAGCAGTTGGAGCAAGTGAAATCGTATCAATTGATCTGAGTTCGAACATATTTACCAATAATTACTAGATCGAGTTTGTCGCACATGATTAGCCTAATGTAATTTACGTCTCTTGTATGATTTGCAAGTTATTATATGAGAGTAATTGTAGTATTCTCTTTGCTATTTTTAATTGTATACAATTTTTTTTCATGGATTTTATTGTCGGCCGTTGGCAGGTGCATGAGACTAGGGGTAGAAATCGAACGGATCAGATCGAAATTAATATTTTTAGATTATTTTCACAAGTTAAAACATAATTCCATTTTCGTTCCAAACATTTTTCGGAAAAATTGTAGATTGAAGCTTTAAAAAAGAATATTCTACAATCAGAAATATTCGAATCGAAGTCGACAAAATTCAAAGTTCCATTCTTTACTCACCTATAGTATATAATACATGTTAGTATTTATATTATGAGTGCAACTTTCAGATAATAATAAAATTATAAATTGCAAACACTATTAAGTATTAACCATCACAAAATATTAGTGTATTATCCACCATATAATACACCCAATATTTTTAATATTAATATTAATAATAATACATTGTTGGACCAATAATCAACTTTCCGTGCAGCGAAAAGTGATTAGCAATCCACGCACGGCATAATAATTACACCTAATGCTTTCTTTAATCTCATAGCTCTCAGGAGTCAGGACTAGTCAAATCCAAATATCAAGGTTTTAATTAGCAACACTAATTTTTCCTAAATATAAATAGATTATCAAATGGGAAAAATACAGTTTTCATCGTTCGTTCAAGTTTGTATCGATTTCACATGTGGACCCTCATGTTTTAGAAATTCAACATTTATAGTCATTTCCGTCAATAATCCGTTAGTACTAACAGAATCAAGTATGTGCCCATCACTGTTTTAACTGATGGATTACCGGTAAATTGACGAAAAAGGACTAAAAGTCTAGAAGTATTAAATTATTGAGACACGAGGGACTAAATGTGTTTTTTGTTAATATGAAGGACCAAATATGAAATCAGTGCAAACTTGAGGGATGAAAACTATAATTTTCCCTTTATCAAATACTAAGCTGCAGCCAACTTATAAAGAACACTCATTAATTGCATGCACTAATTTGTGAGGGCATATTTTTGAGGAATCTAATTTTCTTTTCTTCACTTATTTAACCTCTCATCGAAAGGTTGGTAAATTACGAAATTCGACGTTTCAGAATGGATTTGATAAACAAAAATCGGTAAAACGAAACATACGTAACTCGATTAAACTCGCTGTTCCGATTCTTCACAAGCTCAAGCTCAAAAAGCGCAAAAAAAAAATAAAACATCAGTCAAAACAAACTACATAGATTAGAAGTAATAAGATGGTTACTTAGCACTAAGAACTTCAATCTCAAAGACAAGATCAGAGTTAGGCTCGATACCCCATGCTGGAAAGCCGCTTGGACCGTATGCATAGTCAGGAGTACACTGCAGATGATTAAAAAGAAAAGAAAAAAAAAAGATCAACGAGACATTCGATGCAGGTTCGAATAATATCTCCCACGAGAAAAAAAAAACAAAAAAAGAAAAACAGAATAAGCACGGAATCAGAAGCAAAGAACTTCTTACTAAAAATATAAATGAAGAATTTGGGGTGATCTCGATTTTACTCGATCATAGAAACAAAATACAGAGTAATGGATTCGGATTATTACTTTCAATCGAGCAAGTTCTCCCACTTGCATTGCTAATACTCCGTCATCCCAGCCTGCAACAAAGTCCATATGCAGTCAAAGGAAGAAAAATACATAAGATTTTTTTTTAACGTATTGGGAAAAATATAGTCGATATACGTGAGTGTTCAATTAGTGCATTATGTGTATGTTTACAACATATTTAATCGAGATAACCGTTGGCGTACCTACGTGTTTAGCGTGAAACGAAAATCAAATGTGAGTTCTTAAATACACGAATGTTATCATAACTGCACTTATTATGCACTTATTTCCAAATGCAGTATCGTTCTTGATATTAGTTGAATTTAAAGTTGGAGTAGAAAACAATATTCAATACATTACTTTGAAAAATAAACGAACAAAAACAAAAAAATAAGAGACGTCCAAGCACAAATTATGCAAATGAACAAACATCATATGAATCGTGATCATCATTATACTTTCATCACATATCCAATCACAAAATACAGCATTATTTATACTATCCGCAACCGAAAAACGAGAAAAAGTTACTATTTTTCAGCATTTTCTCATAACTCATTTCTTTATAGGAAGGTTTGATGGAAAACTTTCTCAAAGATAAAAGCAGAAACTCCTAACAAAATGGCAGCTGGCACCCCTAATTATACAAATTCAGCATAAATTATATATATATCCATTCAATTACTTACAGATACATTCTGAAAGATAGAAAGAAAGAAAGAGAAATAAAAAATACTTCCCCTTTCATAATTTCCAGTTGCTCAATTTCAAATTAGGGCAAAGAAAGTACAACATTCATAGCGAAAAGTACCTCTGATGACATCGCCTTGGCCGATTTTGAATGTGAAAGGCTTCTGCCCTGGATCCTTCGTACTGTTACCCCCAAATTGCAACACTCAGATTCACTGCCAAAATAATATTTTAAAAAAAATAATAATAATTTAAAATTACCTCCAGAACTTTTTGGAAAGGTCGCCATTTTTACCGAATCCGGTGCAGTGGACGGTGACTTTCTGGCCGGAGACCGGCTTCGGACCGGTGCCGGCTCTGAGAAGTTCCTTCTCGATACCCATTGCTCTGATTGGATAAGCCAACATTGTTGGTTTCTGCTGTCAACTGTGTTTTTGTAGTGCGTGAATTGAACTGTGTGTGGTGTTGTCTTTACGGATAGGTAAAACGCTTATAACGAATTTCGAGGGTTAAATTTTTATTTTGACCCCTTGTTGTTTGTCAAAACTTCAAATGCGTCCTTCCATTTTCAGTTTATTTTAATTTAGTCCACTAATGGTCTAATCTTATCTCCCGCCGAATTGTATAATTAATGTGTAATTGACACTTTGCATCCTTGAATTACACGGGTTTGATACTTTGTACCCTTCAATTAAAAAAAATAGCACTTTATGCTCTATAATTGTAATTTTTTTGCACTTTGCATACTCTTGCACTTTTTGGCTGGAAAAATTACCGGCAACCGGTTTAGTGGGATTTCTCAAAGGGTAGATTTGTCTTTATAGGGTCCCGTACTATGATTCATCTGCCCCTCTTGGACAAACTAAACCGGCCAATCATTCTAAAAATTGTTAGATGGTGGAAAGTGCCAAAGAATTTGCAATTGGAGGGTCCAAAGTGCTATTTTTCTAATTTAAAGACGTAAAAGCCAAACTTATGTAATTTGAGGGTGCAAAGTGTCAATTACCCTATATTTAATGACACGACACAAATATATTTTATTTTAAGGGTAAATTACAACCACATGCCTGAGGTAAGGTCAAATTACTAAAACTTCGATCCTGTTTTAATTACAACCACCCATCAACTATGAATTTTCTTACACGTCCACCCTTATGGCGTCAAATTCAACATAATCTTCTAGATTGCGTGGAATGTTCTCTAGTTTGTACTCGTTTTGTACAAAAAATGCAGTTTTTGATGCATCACAATCTGATATATACAAGCCAAAAAGTACATTTTATGATCATTTTGCTTCAAAATGTGGAGCTCGAATGGGATTAAACAGGTAGAAAATTGAGAATACTCTATATAATCTAGAAGATTCCACTAAATTTGACACCGCAATGGTGGACGTGTAAGAAGATTCATAGTTAAGGGGTGGTTGTAATTACCCAAATAGAAGGAGGTTTTCGTAATTTGACCTTACCTTCCGGGATTTTAATCATTTTTTTAACAGATTTTTTATTTTATTTGCATTATTATAATTTGATCTTTAAGTACTCATCGTAGCTTGTACAATGATAAATTATTAAAGGGTTAAATACAGTTTGCACCCCTAAAGTATACCATCTGTAACACTTACGCCCTTAAAGTATCATTTGTAACACTTACCCCCCTCAAGCACAATTTTTTTTTTTTAAATTCTAATACCTTCAAAAAATTATTTTTTTGAAAGGAATAACTAAAAGAATAATTAAATTATACAACTAAAAATATATGTTGAAAAATGCAATATTTTAAAATTTAAAAATATTATCTTGCGTTGGATACTTATTCAATAAATATAGCTAATTGTTGTTGGACCAATTAATCAAAAATACTCTATCAATAAATTTTAAGAAATCAATACATAAGTAATCGAATTCTTAAGTATTTAAATATATTTTCGTTCATTAATTTTTTTAAATATATTTTCATTCATTATTACCCAATATATATTACTTTTTATTTTTTTTTTCAATAATTTAGTTTTAGTTATTTTTCAATTTTCTATGAACCGTTAATTATTAGATTGTTATGTTTATTATTTTTTAAATTTTAAAATATAAAATAATTGATGTTGAGGGGGGTAAGTGTTACAAATGATACTTTAAGGGGGTAAGTGTTACACGAGCTTTACTTCAGGGGTGCAAAGTGTATTTAGCCCATTATTAAATTATATAAAGATGTAATTGCAATTGGGCCCTTGCACCCCCGTGAACAAATTATTGTGACCCCCTTAATAAATTGAATGAGAATGAATATTATTGAAATATTGTGGACCATATCTTGACATTTCTAGCTGTTATTTACTGACGTGCCAAACAAATGGAGCATTTAATTTAAACATTCACTCACCAATAAATTTGGCTAAATATGAGAAATAATTAAGTATATGCATATAATATCAATTACTTGGAAAGGAATTGGTACACTTACCCAAATGAAAACAATAAATTGGAGAAAAGATTGTGACACACTAAATCAATTGTTGCACTTACCCAAAATACAAAGAAATGAATAAAAGATTGTGACTCAATTTAATATAGAAAGTTTAGCTAAATTTATAAGATGTTAAAATGAGCTTATAAGTTCTTCAAAAGTATTTGGTGAAATTTTTGAAAAAGATCTTAAAGTTAAAAATTAAAGTTGTTAGGGAGCATATAAGATCATGTTTAAAAAGTATATTTATTCCACTTTTTTATTTAAGATCTTATAATGAGTAGAATTAGTTTATAAGCTCATTACCCAAATACTTTAAAAATCAATTCTAAAAACAAAGAACTAACAACTTATCAGCTACTAAAATAATTTATCAGATGTAAAAGATTATCAATTGTTTAAGATATATATCGAAATAGATACATGCATCAAATGATTCACTTTACTAATGAGCTCGATTTTAAAAGTATTGACAGGTAAATCGAACTCGAATCGGTCCACAATCTCATATATGACCAACACATATGACATATAGACATATTAATAATTCAAGAAAGAAAAGAATTGGAGGGATTAGATTAGAACACCCCTAATTACCTCCTTAATTATAGTACTTAGGAAAAATAAGAAGCACCACAAAACACCATAACCTCGGAGGACAACTCTTTTACTCAACCGCGGTCCCCACACGGATAATAAAAAACAATTCTTTCAATATTTATAATATATTATTATTATATATATATACACACTGCCTTCAACAATTTTTCATCACTAAAAAAGCAATCTTTTTTCTTTGGGGACATTTATCAAACACCTTTTCTTCCTCCTTTCTCTCTCTATTTTCCACATCCCCACCTTCTTCTTCTTTTCTGTTTCTCTCTCTCTCTCTACTCTCTCTGTTTGATGGTGGGTGGTTGAGTTTCAGATAGCCCTTCCCCTATCATGTAAAACGAACAGAAAGAAACCTCGTTAAATAACATTCTGTCTAGAGAGAGAGAGAAATAGGAATATATAAGGGAGATTAAGGAGAGAAGAAAATGGAAATAGCTAGAATTAGGCAATTGTTGCTGCTATGGTGTCGAATCCGAAGTAATCGTCTTGCTCTCGTGGGTGGAAACCACACCGCCGCCAGATTTTGCACTCGCTAAGCGTTTCCTCCGCCGCCGCGCGCTTGTCTCTCTCTCTCTCTTAGCTTTTTTTAGGATTGATTGAATTTTTTTTTAAGAAAAGAGTAAGTTTCTCGATCTCTCTCTCTGTGTGCGAATTTTTTTTAAGAAAAGAGGTACACATTGGTAATCGTAAGAGATGGATAATAAACCGGGCCGTGGATACCGGTCCAAAAACGGCGGGAACGGAATGAACGAGACGAACCGGGTCGGGTTCGGGTTGAATTCCCGGACCCTTTTGGTGATCAGGCTACCCGATTCGCGGGCTTTGCGGATCGTGTCGAGATCTCTGTTCTTGGCGATGCTTCTTCTCGCATTGCCTTCGCTGGGCTCTATTATCGGTGCCGCCTCCAATGCACCTCCGTACGAGCCCGAGCCCGAACCCGTTTCCAGTTCGGGCCTCAAGATCCTACCCATTCTCCTCCGTGATTTGGTGGACGAAGGCCTTATCAAGAAAGGCCACAAGGGTTTCATCCTAGGTGCTGGCGTCCCTGACATTGAAGACGATTTCGAATTCTTGAAAGACGCCGGAGTTGATTTGCTCGCCGGAGCTGATCTAATGCCGAAAAAGAAAAACGGCGACGGGCAAAAACGGGTTTTCGATTTCGTCTTCGCCCCGAGTTTTCGCAGCGTACAACTGACAAACGGCGTTCTAAAAAATGGGGGCTTGGTAATTTCCCTGTTGGGATTCGAACCCTCCAACGAACTAAGATTGCTGAGGGATTTCAAGATTGTGTACCTCAGAAGATTCGAGAGCACCGTGGTCGCAATGAGGAAAGCCATGACATCACCGATGACATCATCAACGAACTCCGTTTCGTGCGGGGTCACACCGGAGAAGAAGAGGGCGGCATTGAAGGGATTGGAGGACGTGTACCTTGAGCCGCCTAGGCGGGCCCCACTAGCAAAAAAATCGAGCTTTACTTCGAGGAAGATCAAGTTCCTACCCGATTTGCTCAAGGACCCGTTGAACGAGTACCCTAGGAGAGTTTTCATATCGGATGATTCGAACGCGCTTGATTGGTTCTACAAGAACTATCCGATGAGGAATCAAGAATTTGAGGTTTACGATTTGGACGTGGATTGGTTGATGGGAGATTTAAGACCGGAGGACTATGTTGTAATGAAGGCGGAGGCGCAAGTGGTGGAGCAAATGCTAGAGGACAAGACGTTGTGCCTTGTCGACGAGTTATTCTTGGAGTGCAAGAATCAATGGCAGGATGGGGAAGAAGAGAATGGGAGTAAGAGAGCTTATTGGCAGTGTTTGGCATTGTATGGTAAAGTTAGGGATCAAGGGATTGCTGTGCACCAATGGTGGTATTAGTGATTAATGATTAATGATTAATGATTCATTATGGAGTGAGATTTTTTAAGGTTTCTTGAAAAGTCTCTATTTTTTTTCTTAGTTATTTGGGTTCTTTGGCATGCAATGTGAAGAAGAATATTTTTTTGTTACTTGGTTTTGTAAATGCATGTAATGAAGAGGGGTTGAGTTGTATTTTCTTTGATGTTTAGGGTTTTTTGTGTAATTTTGGAAAGAAAGGAGTGACAAGGCATTGATGAATGTGGTGGTTAGTGTTTCTATTGGTGTTGGGGTTTTACTTGTAAAGGGTTTCACTGCAAAACTATTAATGTTGTTTAGCTTCTTTTAATAATGGTAAGTAATTATGTTGATCGAACTTTGGCTTCATTTCTCTATTAAATTATGTGTGTCTGTGTGAAAAAATCCTCCAATTTTGGAACCATTTTTTGTAGTCTGATTTTTTAAATTTCAATTTCCAATTTTTAGAGTTCCGACAAAAATCGGAATTTTTCCAAAACACCCGAATCCAATCCAATCCGTCCGATTCACACCCCTAAGCACCCCTCTTAATGTATTGAATAATCAATGCTTCATATTTGTTAAATGCTACTTCTACAAATACAAAAACATATATAACCAGCCAAAAGACGAAATAAAAAAGAGTTCGAATTATTAATTAAAGACTGAAGGAAGAAAACCATCCCCGAATAAAACGATGACCCGGACTCTCCCTCGCGAAATTGTTCACAAAATTACCGCGCAAAATAAATAAATAATGAGAAAAGAAAGTGAAGAACACTTTTCAGGTGAAGTGAGTACATATTCATACAACATCGTCTTTTTTCATCCTATACTTTCAACACTGCTCTATGTACATATTAATATACATCTTTTTTTTTTCTTCCTATATAAATAAGCTTTAGACAACATGTAGCACACCTATAACAAAGCCGGGGACCGACGGAGCATGTGTGCTACAAAAACTAACACTTGATTAATAATGGCCAATCCAATTGGAAGAAGGAAAAAAAGAAAGCTATTATTGGCCATTTCTGCTAAAAAAAATGAGAAGGGGGGCGAAGTGAAAGAAATCTAACCTAACGAGATATCATTTTTTTTATTCAATCCCAGCTTCAGCTTCCGTTAGCTGTGCATCATACTCGAGTAATAAAAAGTCACAGAGCTCGAGAAGTTGATCCGCGAGTGGAGGAATACCTGGATTTTTCCTGTCGTTGTATTTGTGGGCATTGTATACAATCTGATACACGTCATGCCTAAATTCATCACGGCTCTTGTATTCCATTCTCCTTGTCTTATCCCTGATTGTGGACAAATCCATTGGATGACTGATTATGTTCAGATAGTCGGGGGCATCCTTTTTCGAGACGGGCTTTAGAAATAAGAAGGATATTTCGTTTTCTTCCTAAAGCTCTTCCACAATGCTTTCAAGATGTTGCTAAACAACCTGCGGTTTGAATATTTGTTTCCCGTAAGTTTGTTATCCCCAGAAAAAAAAAACCCAAGTACAAAGACCAAAAAAAAAGATGCACGTGCGCAAAAATATGGTTGACTGTGAAGGATGGCTCCATTTCAAACAAGTGACAAGTCTAAACAACACACTATTGTGAGCAGAATTTATAGTAAACGCAGAATTTATAGTAAACGCAGTGAAGGTCGAGTCTAAAAACAGAGATTTTATAGAACACTCGAAACTAAAATTTCATTAGAACAATGAATGCATCCATAAATCCAACAATATCTATATTCCATGCATGCAGGAGATAAAATGTGGAGGACTTGATTCAGGCTGTAGAGAAATTGGAAGGATGAAACTCAACTACTTGGTTGAAATAAGACTCACTGCTTTAGGAATGATTATATAACAAAAAACGACTTACCTCTCCTCCTCTTCGACGCTTTGTAGCAGGGGTTTCGATTTCTGCCCTCCTCGGCACCTTTCTTTCTCTATCTGCTATCCTTCTATCATTTCTTCTAGGAGGAATATCATCCAAGTAATCATCCTTTACTTCAGCCTTTCTCTTCATTTTCTTCTTTGCATGTGCTTTTTTACGTTCTTCTTCTTCTCTTTCTCTACGAATAGCTACTTCATATCTTAGTAACTCATATGCTGGCTGATCGTCAATCAATCTCATTTTTTCTACCCTCCTGTTTCTTTCTGCTTGTTGTCGCTCAGCAGCTCTCCTTTTCCCTTCCATCCACGATTGGCTACCCTCTGGATCTCTCATTCTTGATGACTCTTCATAGAAGTGTCTGCTTTCATGTTCCTGACGCTTATCAAAACTTGACAGCTCAGCTATTTTCTTTGTTTTCCTGTAGTCAAAGCCAAAACTTCCGTCCTGGCTATTTTCATCCAAATTCACAATCTCTTTTGGTTGTTTGATTATAATTTTCTTGCGAGGCTGGTCTCTATCGGCCTCCACTGGTGGTTTTATTACAATGGAGGGCTTAGGAGTTTCAACCAGCACATCTTCGGGTTTCATCTTGTTTGAAAAAATAATTTTATTGACTTTAACAACAGACTTGTTTCCTATTTCGGCATCTGACATCATTGGTCTGTCAGAGCTCTGTGAAGTAGTGGGTGTTTGTTTATCTGGAATTTTGTCGGTTGCACCACATTTGACCTTAAGAACTTTTGCCTTAAAAGTTGGTTTATCATCTTCTGGTGCTTGTGATGCAGCAAACTTTGTCCCGTTTTTCGGTATGAGCTTCTTCATAAAAGGTTTCTGCTGACTCTGCTCTGCTTGATCTGCAAAGCTAGGCCTGCCTGATGACTTCTCAAGATCTATGCTTTCTAATCGTGCGTCAGAATCATCTCCGTACTTGGGGCAGTTCTTGTTGGTCCTCATATGACCAAGCTGAGGTAGCAAGTGGAAAAAAATCGATCAATTTTTAAGCATCTCGACGCAAACATTACTGCTTTCTAAATTGATGCATACTGCTTTCTAAATTGATGCGTACCTGACCGCACGCCCCACAGACAAAACTATCTCTTGCTGATTTCTTTTCCTTGATCACCTGTTTTCATAGCAGCAGATGTCAAAATTTGCTTTTTACTCTCCCTGGTAATAAAAATCTCACATCCTAAGCGGCACTCTCAGTACCAAGATTCACTTTGTTTTTTTTACTAAATCCGATGTAACAGATATTGGTAACTCAAATTAAAGCAGCTCTGAGACCCTCACACTACCACCAACCAAAACGAAAATGACAGAAGCTTGCATTCAGAGTTTCTGACAACTGCTTCTGTTACTAAAGTTTAGACATCCAATAAATGTCCAACTAAAGTTACAAGACAAACAGTATGTAACAAATTAAATCAGCATGCAGCATGTATATTCACAAACATGTCCTGTACTGTGCTAACATCATATAATGAGGCTAACTGATCATATATCAAAGTTTGGGAGGCAAACTTACATTTATCCCATCCGCCAAAATTTTAACTTTCTTGCTTAGTAACCCCATTTGTTCCGTTTCATTCTTTTTCTTGGCTTTTAAGCTCCCTTGAAGATGCTTCTTAGCAGACAAGCTCTCCCCCTGCACCAAAAGATTAAAAAATATGAAGATCATGATCAGCACTTTCAGAATTAATGAAAAATAGTATTGTCGACGTCAACGCTAGATGATGCATAAAAGATTAGACTTGAATATCAAACAAGTACGGACCTCATTTTGATCTTTGGTAATTCTCTCAGTCAATACAAAGGATACCTCAGGTTGCATTATTCTCTTAGAAACTGCATTATTTTTCTTAATTCCGTCAGCATTTTCCGGACCGAACTTTGACTTAAAGGGCAACCCCTCTTTCTCGACCACTGCTCTTGTCTTCTTCTTCTTTTTTCGATCAGCTTCATCATCTACTGGAGAATCATTATATAATCAGATTGAGAAGAGTCACACAAACTATATATCCACGTATATAGAAGATTGAATACTAAAATTATAATGCAAAAAATCATACTAAGCAGAAAGATTAACTGAACCCAAAAACAATCTCTCTAAAGATTAAAAACTACACCACGTTCACCCATTATCTATGTTACATCTAACAGACCTCTTGCTTTTACTAAGAAAAATGGAATACTACTGGACCTAAAGTATTATTCAGAGAACAGAGTTAATAACATGCAGGACTGGTGCATAAATAATACAAGGTAAAAAATTCAAAAATGAACGATAAAAAAATCAAAATGAACGAAACATGCTCCCCCATGCTTTGTAACATTAGTTCAGCATATATATTAGAAACCACGGGCTGTCACCATAAGAAAATCTTTCACTGTTAGGAAAATGTAAAGCTTGTAACTTTGAACTCCATACATATAAAAACTTTGTACCATCCATGAGCATCCTGCATAATTCCGCTGCTTCTGCTTCCTCGTCTTCAATTTCTTCTTCTGCTTGAGTTTGCAATGGGTGTCTTCTCATTTTTAGTCCCCTGACACCATCAACAGTCTCATGTTTAGAGTCATAGTTATCCTCTTCGCCCTCTTCAAATTCTTCTGCATCCAGAAGATTTTCCAAGTCGCCAGCAAATGAATCCAAGTCACTGTTAGCTTCTGATTCACTCTCATTTTCTTCCCCATCACCAGAACATAAACTTTGAGCTTGTCGATCCCATATTTCTTGACATTTTTCTCTAGTCTGCTGCTGCAGTTGCAAGAAGGACATACGTTGTCCACGAGCAAACTTGCTGACTGTTGTTGGATCAACCTTGACACCTGATGCAGCTTGTTCACTTGACAGCTTACGAATCAAAGCAATTCTGTGCCATCGAGTTAGCTTTGCAATCTGCTCTTCTGAGACGTTGAATTTCAGGAGAAGCTACACGTAAACACAGTAAAACCTCATTAGCATGGTCCATAAAAACAATATATATTTCCACAGATGTATGAAAATGTAAATTAGGAAAATGAGTACTGAATGAGGTTTTAAGGAGTCCGCAGAGTCATTTGATAGTTTTTCATGTTTGTTTGATGCATTCGGAATGGACCTAAACTACGCCCTAACCTTGTTGAACTACGAGGATCCCAATAACTCATACAAGTTAACAGATTCAATTCACAAGGTGCCTGACTAAGTAAAAGATTGAGAAACTAGGGTGCACCATCGGTAAACTATTGCCATCGAACCAAAGAAACAGTATCTCTCTGTGACTGTCTTTTAGAATCCAATTAACCCATTGAGATTTCTGATAGGTCTCTGATAACATGAAATTAAAACCTTGCAGGTGCAGTATTAGTTAGATACAATCATTCTAGTTCTTACTATTCATATATTATGATGTGAATACGCCACAACAATTCGTTATGTATGGATGATACTTCTAATGCCGAGTCAAGATAAACTAGGAAAGAACTAAAGCACTGCGATGAACTCTTATGCCATTGAACTATTAATTAAATACATTCAATCCTAAACTCCATGTTCTATGTTTCATAGACATAAGCATCAATCAACAAAGAAAAGCAATCAAGACAGAGAACAAGACAATAGCGAAAACCAACATCTTACAACATTTCAAATACTAAAACAGAATACAGTAATTCCAATGTATAAAAGACTCCTGACACAAAACCAACACACCTCTCTTGCAGCTTCCATGCTCAATCTGCGTAGATCAGCATCAGTTCCAGTCACAGTAGACCCTTTACCAACGACAGCTTTCTTTTTCACTACCGCATTTGAGACTGGGGCCTTCGGAGTTGCACGGACATAACTGAAACCCAGGCCCCTTCCTGAAGGGTCTCCAACACCCGTTATTTCCAAACGCTCAATATTTTCTCTATCCTGAATATAAAGAGACCACAAACAACAATGTAAGACTAATCTATACGAAATAGTCACAATGCTCATAACAGAAAGTAAATTAAGCAATATATGATGCATCTAACACCGATCGCAGCAATACGGATAATGTTACAACAGCAACAAAAGTAGATTTGATTCACTGACTTCAATGTCAATACAGGAACCATAAAACATGACTTAATTTTATACACAACGATGCAACTTACATTGGAATTATCTTCTCAACATACTTTCTTATGAAAGTTACAACTTTTCACCAACGGTAGACAGTTAAAAGGAGAAAACAGAACAAATTGATCATCCAATTTTAATTTTTAGAAAACAGGAATATCAGTACTTAATTGATGGCTTCCATTTAAAGTAAATAATGCAGCTTATGCTGTAATATATTTTTGGTCGACCCGAAGCCAAAATTTAAGATTAAAAATAAGCTTTACACGGAATTAGTTAGCCGCATACAGAAATTGAAATATAACATGGAACTTGCCTGTTATCATTAAGACATTAACCCAAGATGAATTGTTCGGCATTCTATACATATAAACAAATTTCCCGGGAAAGATAGGAAAATCAAGCACATACACACCAATTTACTACATTCCAGGGATGTTTACGTATGTTTTTTAAATTCATGTGAAACATCATTCAGGATTCCATGCTATCTTATAGAATATATTATTCTTTATTCAGGATACATATATCTAACAGAATATATGTTTGAAGTTAATATATGCCAGAATGCTTCTAACTCGTAAAGCAATTTAAAAAAATACATATAAGTAAAGATACACACTGCCATATACGAGTCCACAATGTTGCTGGGGATTCTGAGAAAGGTAAACTGCTTGCCTGGTTTGTGCAGGAAACAAAATTACTACTCAAGTTCCATGGTGTTATCTGCAGCTCCCTCTCAATATGTGATGCAGCAGCTAAAGCAATTGCTTCATCTGGAAGCTGATTCATTGCAGATGAAAGGCCTGAAGGATTTATCAGCCTTGTAATTCCCAATCTTTTGAGCCTGTATTGGCCAGCTTGCATGCTCTCATAGGCACAGACCTAAGGCAAAAAGGGAAAACTGTAAGAAAGACAATCTTAGGCCATTGTAAATCACTGATATAAATATTAGGCATATCCTTGCTTTACTTTTTTGGACATTAGACATATCCTTCGGTTAGCAATTGTGGAAGGAACTCTTTATTGCCACTCATGAACTACCTATGGGTCATGATACATGGAAAATTGATGTCTATTAACTTCAAAATTTATCGTCCCCATCTCCCAGCTATCATTCTTAAATAAACAGTCCATAAATTGTAGGTAGAACAGCTTACCTCTGTGTAGTTCTCCGTTACAAAACTATAGATGAATAAGTACTAAATCTAATGCTAAAATCATTTGCGAAAACCAGGGAAGGGTTGCCGAACAAATTTTTGGTTGTTCGCAAAACTTGCTCCTCAACCCCAGGGATGACAGATCAGGACCCTGGGAGAGCCGCAAATGAAATCATTACTATTTCCTTTGTTGATGAAAATTGAGACATCGGACACACTTCACATAACCATATAATATGCTTTACTACTACTTCATTCCCATTTCACCAATTTATGGGTATTAAAAAATAAAAGATGTTAAATGTATGGGTATTAAACAATCAACTGCTAAATTTTTCGACTATTCTTTAATTTACAGAGGCTGTTCTTAGAATTTCCAAACTACTGTATCACATAACATAGTCCAGAATATATGAAGAAACATATAGAAATGCATACTGGTATATTGGCTTTTAAGGGTTATGTTGTTGGCCATCCCTTACCTTTGCTGGATTTTAAAGCCAAAGACGATAGCCAAGTATCCCATCCTCTATGACAAAATAATATCACCAATAGTAAATTGACTATCTATTTGAAGTTGTCATAATTCTAAGAGATTATAAAAATCAAAAATCAATCACGAAAATCTGTTCGTACAGCATTTATTTCAAACTTCAAAATGAGGAGAAAGGATAAGTTTATGCAAGTACTCACATTTTCAGGTGTCACCATCCTTCTTAGTTCTTCCTCTAAAGGAATCTGAAAATTGCGCTTCATAACCCAAAGAAGATGTCCATTTGGACCTCTCTAGTGGCACATGCAAGAAACAAGGTTCATTTTAACATTTGGAAATTAACAAGAATAAGAATTCTTACAAAATATAAATGCCAGACTTAAAACACATTTTTCACGGTTTTCCTTTCATTTGTCTAGATGAAAATTTTCTACATTCTTAGTACAATTGTTTATGTTATTTCCTCTTTTTTCAGTTTGCTGAATGTGACCATTATCTGTGTTTGTACCCCGAGGGCAAGAGAGGGTATTAGGGCCAGGGGAAATTAATAGCAGAATGCAATACCTGTAAATCTGCACAACTTTTCAGCCTTTTCCGGAGAAATGCTTCAGACAAGGTAGGAAACTGTGAGAACAACTCGTCCACGCGTACGGAAGGGCGCAAACCACGTTTTTTAGAAGCATGAAACTCTCGATACATGTATACCAACACCCTGTGCATGATATAGATCTGAACAGCTTTGGAACCAGGAGACATTACCTCCATGTGAGGCTCCTATGGATAAAAATGTTAAAAGAAATTAGGAACTCACAACATCAAAAATCTTGATGTCCTAGCATTGGCCAATCATAGTGCAATTATAAAAATTTAAGAAAAAAAAACAAACAAAAACAAAACAAAAAAAAAGAGAGATCCAACAAATCCATTTAAAGATACTTTAGAATGCATGTTGAGGAATATCAACATCGGATTAGTCATTGCATTATTTAAGGTAGCATATTTCCAAGACATTTATCTTCAAATACCAGAATAACCATAAGAAAGCGGCATGAACATTCGAGACATCTGGTTTCAACGATGGAAGATAACAGAGACTAAACTGGACTGTATACCTATAGACACAAGCTGAAAGGTCCAACTTAAATAAATAAAAACCCCTAGTCCAATATCCACGAGCAAAGCTGAGAAATTTGCTACATTAACTCTCATGGTACAACCTAATAAAATTTGCTGCATTGACTTATTAGAGCCTTAACTTTATCTTCTGTCTATCATAGCCAATTCAATTTGAATAAAGGAAGCCTCGCCTATTCCTTGACTAAGAACCTTCTTTCCGCCAGAAAGGTCTAAAACTTGTAACAACGTGTGTTGTAAGGCCCTATTACAAGGCCAACTTTTTTTTAAACAAAAACAGAAAACATATACAGCCTATATTATATTCTACACTCAAATAGAACACATTAATTAATCCCACAAAAAAATCACATATGGGCCTAATATTATCAAAAAATGAAAAACTAAATTTCTGGCCAATTTATGTTCAAACAGAAAACCTATATAACCCTATATGCATAAATAAATAAATAATATATGTGCAGTCATTTAGATTGTGCTATTGTGCTAGGAGCTTCTAATGAGTTTAGTCATTCAGATGGTAACAAGAAATCATATTAAACTAAAATCCATCCAAAGCAGTCTACTTTCAAAGGAACCTCATACTTCTCTCAGTAAATTTGAACGAAAACATCCCTAGGCCTGGGCAGTAAATGAAAAAAACAAACTGTCCAGGTAGGTTCTCTTATTCAATGTAAGCAAGTAAAGCACCAAAAAACACATAGGTACGTTCAGAATATCAATCACTAGATAAACAATATCCTAAATATAATGATGACCCAGTCAATTCTTTGAAAGTTCGTTAGAATGCAGATAAAAAGAATCTTGGTTCTTCACTTATATTTCTAACAAAGACAGAAGAAACCAACAATTGATCAGAAATGATGGCATTAAATTACCTCAGGGATAATTTTGAAGTTTCAAAGCTAGCATGTTTGACAAAGCACATGCCATATGCATGATTTCCAACTTAAACTATATACGATCTTCAGTTTTCCAAAACTCACCCAAAAATCTAGAAAATGGGGTTCACAAAACTAATAACTGCCACTGGGAATAGGAATACAAAAGGGACTGAAAGCATCGCATAAAAAATCAAAATGATTTTCCATTTAATCCTATCTGACAACTGCAGAAAAATTAAGATTTTTCCGAGGGTGTGAACACAAGAGGTCTTTATGCATCGCAACACTTATACGATGGAAAATTTCAATGGAAAACCAAACAAAAAATGATGAGAAAGCTCACAGCTCAGACAGATTAAACAAGAACATTGAAAAATCGAAATAAAAGGTATAGTAAGAATGTCGGCACACCTGTTGTCCAACAGTATCAATCCTGTCAATGCGCCTGATGGACAGCTTACCCTTTGAAGACCTAACCAGTAAATAGTCAGTTGATGCGACTTTATGTTGAAATATGGGTGCTCTATACATGTTAGTTTCAAGGCATGATTGGCTGGAACCAGGTTTTATATCTCCAAGAAAAGGAGATTTGTCAGCAGGATCAAGATTCACGACACTCCCAAAGCCATTGTTTCCATTTCGTAGTAAGTTACCCATTTGATCACCTGGTGCAGATTTTTGATAGTACGTACACAGTCTTGCACCCATTCCAGCATTACCCAGAAGTAATGGTCTTTCCTCACAGTACCTGCATTTTATAATTTACAACAACAAAATCAATAAGCTGCAACAGTCTAGTAGAAATAATTTGTAAAACAAAGGAAAAACATATCCGAAAGAAGAAGGCTCAAACAAAAAGCATATTTGGGAATTGGCCTATAACAAATGAGTATTAGAAGTTATATAATTAATCTCTAAATAAGCAAACTACCACCCAATTCACAGTTCATATAGTGGAACGATTCATATTATGATTTTCTATCAGGTCACAACATTACATCAGGCTTTCGATTACAGTGCCTCTTATGCACTTCCAGAAACTGACACTTTTTGTTGTTTTGACATAAATAATTGGTGTCCTTTGAATATTTTTCACTGCTGCATTTTCCATCATGTATAGTAAAAACACAAAATGGAATCGGATATTAATAATAACTTAGGATCAAAACAGGTGAATAAGTTCAAAATTCATAAAACCAATGACAAAATATTGTGATAACTTACTCCATTAAGAAAACATGTCCATCTTTTACTGAAAGGTCAGTTTTTTTCTTAAATGCCCCAGGAGGACGCAATGACTTGTTCTCCCCAGGAAGCTTTTGTGCTCGGGGCAACATATATATTTTTGTGCGAATCAGGTGCAAGACTGAGTTTGAGTGAACATTTTGTTCAGCAAGGGATTTGTTGTCTTCAAGCTCCCTCCCAGAAAAAAATATCTTAACTGGCTCAGATAGTTTAAAATCTACATACAAAAAGACGTACTAGAATCTGTCAAATAAATAAAGTAGCGTACGTCATCCATGTACTAATCCTGTCTAAAAAAAGATATTCTTTGAAACACAAAGAAAGTAGACATCAGGGTTAATAGAAACAACCTACCTAGCTTTTTTGAAGCTTTAGCCTTCACAGCGGCGATGGTTTCTTCGGCATCCACATGAAGTTTACTTCCTTTGCCACCCAAACTCTTCATAATGATTTTCATTGGTCCCTGCATGGCTAATTTCCCCTGCTCCTTAAGTGGCACCTCAATATCATGTGGGTACCATAAAGCTTTTGGCCGATGAAAATTAGCAAGATCTTTGCTGCAAAAAAGCAATTGCTTCACAACGAGCAGAGAAGTAAAGACGAAAGAAGATTGGTTAACGATGCGAGGAAAAAATTAAAGGCATAAATAACTAGCAAAAATAATAAGCTATAAAGCAAGTCATTTTTTAAGATACATAAAGAACTCAAGCTAAGCATCTGGTAAGCAAATGCATCAGAATAATATACCTACACTAGGCAGGCACTTCAACCCTTACTCAACACTCCACAAAAACCGACATAAGATGACCTCTTACCAACCTAGAGTAATATGAATTTAACGTCTGCAGCTATGTATCATTAACCATTAAGGGGAAGGCAAGAAATAAAAGTTAAAGAGAGTCCGTACTTGCTTAGCTTAGCTTTCACCGTCTGCAGCTTAAGTGCAGGCACTGAATGCAAAACTTTGAGTCCATGGACAGTCCGCTTTTTGGAATGAGATCGCTGCTGAGAGGATTTTCTGTTTGAATAGAATTTGTCATTAGAAATATTGAACCGTCCAGCTGGTACAATTCCATGATTATGTAGCTCGACCGAATCACCACCGCCAGGATGGAAAGAACGTGCTATGATCATTGCTCCCGCGTGAAGCTGCAGATCTTTGGCATCCTTCGCATCTGAAAGTTCAAAAAGCATCTGCTCGTCTTGGAGATCAAGAATTAGCTTTGGTTTCACAATAGACTGATGGGCCTCCCACACAATATTATCCAACCAAGATCCTTCCACTACCTCTCTATTTAGTAAGGTGAGATCACTAAAACGTCTTATAGCATCACTACAAAGTTTAGCTTCAGTAGCAACATCATTTACACCTCCAGAGTTTGTGTTCTGTTTATCTACTTGAGACTCTAGCCTTAGGAGTTGGGGATGACTTCTGTTCTCAGAGGTGGTAAGGTTAGTCAATTCGGAATATCTGTCTGCGCCAAAAGGCTCCACAGAAATAGAAGATCTATTCAGAAATGATGTGCGATCCTTATAATGAGGTTCACTTTGGATTTCTGGCACGGGCGTTTGTACTTCAGCTATCGTATCCATATCCTTATCAGGAACTGTGTCAGAATCAGGTCCAGACAGCTCACAACTCTCTACAAAATTATCCGTCGAAGATGGAGAATTGTTCCAAACAATTCTATCATCCCAATCTTCCTGGTCAAGAGGATAAAATTTGGTGGAGAAAGAAGAGCTCCATTCTGCAAAATTAGATACTGAGAGGTCATCTTTCATTGGTTCAGCAGAACCACAGGAATCCTTCTTATTGACATCAACACCCAAAGACATCTTTTCTGATTCCCAAACAATTCCAGATTTCACTGAGTCGCCTTCAAAACTCGACATGAAAATATCACTTTTTCTATGAAACGGTCTCATCCAGGAAAAATCTTGGCAATGGGTTTTCATAAATTTTTCTTCGTCTTCCTCGACGATGTCGGACGCATCCATGGACTTGTATTTCTCTAGCAAAATGGAAAGAAAATATGCTTATTCAGAAAGTAAATGCATATAACAAAACTTACTGCAATATTTGGCAGACTTAAATGGAACATGTGTACCAAAATGCTAAAAGTTTACAAAATATTAATTCATTTGAACACACATGTTATTTTTTTATTCTTAATCGTTACAAGGGCTATCAAAACTTGTGAGAAAGATCCACTACAGTGGAACAAAATAATACACACCTTTAGGTACTATATATCGGCAATCTCTTTTTCCCGCTTTCTTTAAGGGCTCACGGACACCAAAAATTTCAGAAAATCGTAGGATTGCCTTCCCATCCTCTACATAGAGAACAGGAAGCAGTGAAGACATATCACCATCCATTGAGTCTTCAGAATCAATTGAATCATCCTGCTAAATCATGCGTAGGTCAAATAACATGAAATCCAAAATCATTGGGCAAAGCGAATGAACTGCTATGGAACAGTATATTCCCAATCCCACTTCCTCTGTCTTATAAGATAAAATGAGGTGTTTTGATAAAAAAGTTGACAGACAAAATTGTGTGCTTAAAAAAATTATAATAAAACAGCCTACAAAAAACACAACAAACCTCCTCGGAATCTAGGAGTGTATGAACATCTTCTGCAAGACTTTCCTCTTCAGTAAGTACTTCATGAATGTAATTCTGCTCACCTATAAAAAGAAGGTAAGAAATGTATATTAGAAACACTAATGTTAAGTATTCACTGACACATAGAATTCCTGATAAATTTCTATAATCCAGAATAAAAATATTTACAGCTCCAAGTACCCCTACCTCTATTGTTTCATGTTCCAAATCCAGTGATATCACACATGTTGCTCTAGTAAGACCTTAGTCAATATATCTATGAAATAATCTACACAAAATCTTAAAAGGTTTCACTACCTTCATTTTTAGGTTTTCTATTATTGTTCCCGACGTATATTTTGTTAATTTATCCATCTTACTGGTGATTGTAAGATTCTACAGCTTCTCTAACGTCTGCTGACAGGTCAAGCTGAGGAAAAACCACATTTTACGATCATAAAACTAGAGAAAGGAATTGGCATTCAAACTGAGTGCACTTTGCGCACGCCCAATAATTATTTTTTTTCAGAAACCTAGTATGCTCATGAACGGATTACTAACTTCAATGTTCTCATCTGTAATTTTTACCAAAATTTTAGAAATTTAAACCACTGTTCCTCACTCGACTAAATAAATATGAAACGGCTGGATTGCATGATAATGAGCACTAAGCATCTGAGCCATTGGCGTATTATTTTTATAATAGATAAGAGAACAACCGAAGTTATGCGACCACCGATATGATGAGGGGTGAAAGTCGGACGGAACAGATCGGAATTGTCCTTTTCGGAAATTTTCCAATTTTTTTCGGAAGTACAAAATCAATTCCAATTCAAATTCCAATTCCAATTCCAAAATTTTTGGAATCTAAAAATTCATTCTGATTGCAGAAGTTAGGAATTTTTTGGAATTTCGGAAATTTCGGAAATCGCATAGTTTTATGATTTCAAATAGTACGAAATTTTTTAGAAACTTCCATAAATTTCAAAAAGTAAGAACACACACTTCGACAAAAACTCTCTGATGCTATAGCTTTCTGCATACGCAAAAAGAACTAAGTTTCAGTTCATTTTTTAAAAATGCCATTTTGATAGCAAATAAAAGAATGACTCTCCAAAATGGCTCATAAAGTAAAATATAATTAAATATTTAATTTATTTTACACCAAGTAAAATAAATGATATTATATAATATACATTACTTATAAGTGTAATTTTCGGAAAATAACCGCAAGTCTTGGATTTAATGTTTTGGAAACTAATTTGAATTAGAAGTCGGAAATTCCAATATATATAATTCCGATCCAAAAAAATACAGAAAATTCAGAAATCGGAATTTCGGAAAATGGAATGAAAAAAGTTGTTCCAAAATTGGAACTTTACGGATCGGAACCGACAGAAATTGGAAGTGTTACGCTGCCACAGAAGGGCTCGGTGTTTCAAACAGAGAACTAAAGATGACAGGGTATACCTTTCATCAAGTCATTATGATTTTAGATGTGGCATGTTATACGAAATTGATGGGTTCATAATGGTGAAAACAGTAGAATACATTTTGGCCGGTGGGTTAGTATTTTACTTTATAATTTATATCAATTTTACTATCCTCCATGGTTTAAAGAAAAAGAGAGCAACATTAATTTTCTTTGACTCTCTACCCACTAAGCCTTTGTCCTTTTCAGTTATACCACTGCTTTCATACTCTTTCTTCTAGTTAGCTTATCAAATCGTCATTCTTATACTACTAGCTTTCCAATGACCATATCATGTAAAATTATCTCCACAAGAAGTATCAGCATTAGCTACATTTTGCAAGTTCAAAACCCAAACATTTGAACACCCTCTCCATATCCGAGATATAATTCCTCAGAACCAATCACCATTTAGCAATAATTGTTCTGTACCCACTCAGTCAGCAGAATCCAACCTAGGACTGGTGCACCTTCAGCATTACATAAAAAAAGACCTATAAGATGTCCTAATCAGAGCACTTGGCTTCTCATCGATAGTACTATAGTTCATTTCAAGAACTGAATAGATAAATACAGGTGACAAGCAACAAGGATAATGTGAAATAAAATCACAGAGTAAATAATGAAACTAAATGAAGATAGGAATACACAAAAAGGAATTTTAAGGACATGTATAACACGGTAAGTAGAAGAAACTGCGCGGGAACAAAAAAATTGTATTCATATTAACAACTGAAATAAACACACACACAAAAAAGAGAGACAGAGAGAGAATCATGAGTTTTGGATTGAAATATGAATAAAACCGCTACTCAATGGAGAGGTACACTTGACTAAATGGGCATTAATGACTTGCACATATTAAGTTATAAATTTGAGATTTTCAATAAATATATGTACTAAAAAAGGGCAAAGAACATGATTATCAAATAAAACAACAAACATGAGAGGAAGTACAACAGATGTAATAGGCTTCTGAAGTAAAGTTAAACCTGACGGAGAAAACCGCTGACTTTCAAAGTTGCCTTCTCCTGACAGGTTTTGCTTTTCCAAATCATCATCTTCTTCGTCATAGTTTTCATCATCAAACACAGAGTTCGTATTTTCTAACGAAGTCACTGAAACTTCTTTGGAAAAAAAATCCCTTTTTGGCAATAAAAAATCCTCCTCGGTAGCTGTTTGAACCTCCGGTCCTTCATATTGCTCGTCTATGTCTTCATAATCAACAGCATTTTCTGCCTTCTTGCCATAATCTGGTGTGCACGAGAAAGAAGAAGGGATAAAAAATATTTAATTAGGACTACATAGACAATGAGGAAAGAATGTATTCTAGACTAGCAGAATTGGGTACAAATGGCAAATGAATAGGTAGAAAAACATAAGTCTATATATGCTATAGTAAACTCAACATAAATTTCAACTTCTAAATATTGGGTTAAAGCACAGAAACAGGAAAGAATGATGTTTTAAAATGCCAACTGGTGCTAATATATGATGAATAATCTCTTGCTTTAACTGAATCTACCTACAAGACCATAGAACACGTGAACTGACATGAAGATTGGGAAAGTGAATATACATAAAATGTATAAGCTAATATGTCCGTACTATGAATAATAATCCATCACTTTTATGTCCGTACAAGGTAAAATGCTTATGATAAATTCAGCATCTATAAAGTGTTATAACTTCAGAGTTAAGACAGATTACAAATCTTGTTATTTACTCTCTTTTACTTCATATCTGGAGTTTCTAGGCCATTTTACAAATTTGAAGGTTTTAAACCAACACACCATCTCATTGCTAAGAGCTTTAATAAAGCTGACACAAAAGCATGTGCAACAATTGTCAGCAGCCTGAATGAATAGTATAGATATTTCAGAACTTCTACAACATATTAGACTAAGGGTGTGGCTACATACAGTATATTAATTTGTTACTTTAGTACCTTCGTTTTTAAAACCAGGCAGCAACCAAACAGGTTAGAGTTGAGCGAACGGACCAACCAGATAAATTTTGTATTATATAATATAAAACAATAACATAATACACTAATTATTGTACTTTTTATTTCATTACATCAAAATATAAATTAATCAAACACCAATCAACATACTTTTTAAAATATTTAAGTTCTAAACTTTGTTGCAGGCCATGCTCGACAGAAACTCGTCAAACTGAATTTTAACTTGTTGTTCCGCCACTATATAAAATGATAACAACTTTTATTGTTTCAAACATCCAAAAGGTTCCGGTCCCTCTCCTGGCAGCAGCCATAGCTCCACTACCTGCCCTATTTTAGAAAAAGAGGAAGAAGACAATATATAGTCCTACTATCTGTTGGTTTGCATTTCTCTTTTCTATTTTGCTATTTTTTTTGAAATGATAACCAGCAAATTAAGTGGTTACAGCTAGTTCCGGTTTTATCGGTTTCTATAAGTTCACGATAGTTTCAAACAATGAACGAGATCCGGTTTTATATACGTAACCGTGATGGACCTAGTGCCCTTTCCCGGTTAAAATAAAAAGCCAGTTAGATCCAGTTTCAAACAGGTTACTTAATACCACATCAACTGATACTAGAGCATCAGTACACTTTAAAGCTGCTACAATTCCTCATCCCTCAAAGATATCACGAAACTAATTTAGGTGGTTATAAAAATTGGCCACAACACAATATACACCATACAGTGATCAGCCTCTCTTATGTGCACCTTATGTCAAGAGAACTTCTCAACTGATGGATCAAGTAAACATTACTTCTCGGTCTTTGGAGTAAGGTATCATCATCTAGGTGTCTAATAATATAGGGTCTACATAGATTTTAATTTGGTTTCTTCGCCTTATGGGTCAAGAACTTAGCAACAGCAAGATTAAAAAAATCTTATTCCGTGGAATTTTGGGATGGATGGCATAGCCCTTGCAAAGAAAGCACACGCATCATTACTCTAACAACCAGGATAATACTAGTTCCATTAGCAACAAGGTATTAATTAATATCGACAACCGCAGGTAGCAATATATCATTTAAAGATTGCTAACACTACTAAGACCTGCTTCAGAATAAAAACCAAGAAACAAAATCATGATTATTTCTAAACAAAGCAGGCCCACTTCATAGAAAAGGAATACATACTAACTGAAATTCGATAAGTTTATGAGTTAGTGTTCCCTGGAATACATCATCACCTTGATCTGTAGCATCGGATGGTGTAGTTGGTGATTTTACAGCGAGCTGAAACTTGAAAGAATAAAATCATTAGAGAAATAATCATCGGAGCACAACAACTAACAACTGTCTGTCAACTACGATGATACGCAGTCTATAAGTCCACTAATGTCTGCTCTAGAATTTATAACCATGGTTGTGATGTGTATGAGATCTCCGTACATTTATATCTTTCAGGGATAGACCAAGCTTGTCAGCCAATGCAGCAAGATGCTCCTTTGCGTCCTGAAAAGAAGATTCACAGTTTAGCATGCATTTGTCATGAAAAAAAAAATCAACAAGCCAGGGAGAGAGGATAAACAAAAAGGTATCTAAGACTAGTTGCCAATTTTCATGACCTAACTGCACGTAAGAATCAAAATAGGGTCTGAAAGTGGAAGCTGCCATTTAGTAACCCAGTGGTTCATAGAAATTCAGTGCCAGATCTGCCTACTCATTATTAGTAAATAAGAAACTCGAATATCCATACCGCAACCTAAATATCTCAGTATTCAAACTTAAATCGTAGTCCTGAGAACATTCTTTCCATATAGGGTAATTGAAATCTATAAATTATTGATTTCCTGATAGGAAAAGAGAACTCTCTAAAAACAACTGATGGGAAGTGCCGACTCGAACAAAATATTTCTTGATCCTAGAATTCTATAAGAGGTTCAGCAGCTATTTTAATTTTTCATATTATCAAAATTATATATGCTCCTGGGGAGATGCAAACTATGGTGTAATAGTCCACGTGGGTGTCAATGTTGGATTATTTTATGAGCAGTGCATGAGACAGCTAAGAGATGAGCATATAGTAATTTGACATGAGAGCTCACTAATAATATATTGTTTGGAAAATTGAATCTACAGAACAGAAATAGAAAAGAAATGATGTAAATCTGAGCACAAGGAACAACATGGTCCATGGCACTAAATGATGATAAACAACTCCCTAAAACCAGGCAGCATAGGTATTCAATTAATGACAAATGTAAAGCAAATTTATCCAGAAGTCACTATACTCTAAGTTCTATCAACATGCTCTTATGCATAAAAAAGAAAAAGGAAAATTTTGATTAGCTTCAAAGAATGACTTTCTTTATAACTCAAAATACATAACAAAAATAGGGCAATGTCATTCCAATGTATATCAACTAAAACATACCCAGTAGTTCAAATACTTCACATGCACGAAACTAGAACTGTCAATAAGCTCAAACTGACTTTTGGCGTTGAACCCTCAAATGGAAACTTCCGAAATTAGAATAATATGATACCTAACCAAGTCTCATCTGATATTTATATTTACACGAAACTAAAGATCTCTGTGAGCCGAAGTGCGCACCTAAATTTTTAATGAACTTGATTTGTGTAAAGAATACTTGTAAAGGGTACATCACTTATTTGCTTCCTCCTTTTACTGCACCCTATGATAAGATTTTCCATTTTTCAAGTTCTCGGTCTGCGATATATATTTTTGCTAATTGGATTAAGACAGGGTTAGCAATCTTCAATTACACCTAAATGCTCACAAAATCCATTTTTTTTTCACTAAGGGTCGATATATTCATAGTTAATAACTCGGACGAAGATTAGGAATTAGTCGACTGATTATGGAACATGACAATACCTTCATATTAACAATGGCTAATTTTTTATTGCTATAAGTTTTCATTCTTCAGCATTTAAATCATACTGTCGAATCAAATTCCAATATCCAAAGCCAACTCATGCTAGACATCAAGCTTGTATTAACTAAAAAATCGAGCTTACCACCCCAGTTTACCCTAAGTGGTATTGGGGTTTCTCTTTATATGAACATTATTAATGTAAAGTTAATGTTTACTTCATGCAAACTACCCCCTGTCAAATCCCACTCTTTACACGCGCAAATCGGAAACAAGAAGACGGTGAATTTAACGAAATCAATATCCCTCTTCATCATTCCTTCGACTCTTTAGCTCCAATATCAAAACAGACAAATTGGTAATAAAATTAAATAAAAAAGATGGCAGAAATAATAGAAGCACACCTCATCAAGATAATCAACATCAAGATCACCAGAATCATCGACGTTCCCAAACATGAAACCAAGGAGGCGGTTGCCCCCTTCAGCCTCATCGTACTCATCCTCATCATCTGCCAATTCAAAATTAATAAATTTCCAGTAGTTCGCCGCAGGAAAGAAAAAAAAAGAATTTCAAAACGTGAGAAGATGCTACAGCTAAGCAGCAGGAAACCATGATAGTAGCGCTGGAGAGAGGACAAAAAAGAAAATCCTCTCTGAGTGAAGAAACCCTAATCTCGTTATTTGGGGGTTAAGAAATCTGCACGTACCGACGGTCATTTCCTCGTCGGCGGCGGCGGATACGGCTGAGGAACTCTCACCTGTTCCATCGGCCCACAGAGCCATATATAATCCTTCCTCCTCGCTCTTCTTTTTCTTCAATTTTTTTATTTTCGTTTCCTCTTTCCTCTTTTAATTTCTTATTTCTTCGTCTTCTCCATTCATGAGTTCCTCCCCTTTTATAACAAAAATTCGGGTTCGGGTTCGGGTCCGGGTCCGGGTCGGGCAAACATAATGGGGTTTTTTTTAGTAGTTAGTCATTGGGCCGTTTTGTTTCATTAAACGGGCTTTTCTTTTTCTTTTTATTTTATTTTTTTTGTCCACATCTATATATTATAAAAAAAAAATATTAATTAATTCGAAAATAATTTAACATACAAAAATTCAAATCAAAATCCACTTGTTAATTTTCTTGTTCAATTTTGGAGGAAAAAAAAAATTGTGTTCTCTTCTTTCTAGTTTGACTTTTCCATAAGTTTTCAATAGAATACGGAACCACGACTTTACATCACTCACAAGATACATAAAGTTTTTCACTTCCTTTGCGTTGCACACATCATCAAACGCAGTTAATTTTGCCACACGAACTTTGAACGCCGACATACTATGATACTACCCTCAGAATTTGGTGCCTCATTCTGAATTGTCATTTTCAGCACCGTCAAATCTGTAAGCATGCCCTCTTGAACTAATATTAAAGGAGGATTGTATAAGTTGCTCAATATACAATTCAAGATGAAAATAGGATCTTTAATAAGTCAATAGTCATAAGTATTTCCTCTTATAGAAGATTTAAGGTTACATTTGACATAATTAAGCGTTGCACGTTGAATGTTGAATATATAACTCAATGTGTTAAGATGGGTGTTTGTCCTGAACGTTTAGGTTTGTTTGATAAGTCAATGGTTAAAATGATTTTTTTTTTATTATATAAGTGTTTAAATGTTAGTTGAACTCAAACATTAAGAAAAAATTACACAGTATTTCAAGAAGATACGAGCAATTTGCATTATTTTGGATTTTGTTCTTTACAATTAAAAGAACATAAGCGACTTTTTTCGCAATTCACCTAAAAATGTTTACATAGTGTTCTGTTTCATTCAAAATAATTACGAAAGAAGAAAAAAATCAATACCAGAAATCTTTATAATAGAAATTATTATCAAGTTCTTCTTAACATTTTCAATATATTACGCCCGTTTTTTTTTAGAATGAAAAAACCTACAACTCGTTATATATATAGATGTACCGCATAAACATCTATACTATCGTACGATGTCTCGCAAACAACACGAAAAATACAAAACCCACAAATTAACTTATAAAACATGACAAAGAACACTTTAAAAAAGTGAAAACTAATTAATTGATTAACAAATTAAACAAACCCTCTTTTTTTTTTTATTTCTACAGAAAACATCAAAGATACACACACATACTCTACTCCCTATACATCAATGGAAAATTAATTAATTAACCGAAAAACAACAACCACAACATAATATAACTACTAATAGTCTCACACACACACACACACTACAAAGAGAGAGAAATTAAATAAACAAAGTTTATCAAGGCCTGGTGAAAAATGGTGGAGGTGTTAATCCAGGGAAAGAAGGGATTCCTCCAGGGATTCCTCCAGGGATTCCTCCAGGGATTCCACCAGGGATTCCTCCAGGGATTCCTCCAGGGAGTCCTCCACTTCCAGGCAATGTGAATGGTGGAAGCTGTGGCAAAGTGGGAGTCCCTGAAGGGAAGGGCAAACTCGGAAGTCCACCGAACGTCAGCATTTTACGGCTACCAACCGACGACGCCGAAGTTTTCTCCAGGCCCTGGATTGACAGTGCAATCACAATGAGTGAGATTGTGAACTTCAAAGAACAAGAAGAAGAAGACATTGTTGTAAGAAACTTGGACGAAAAAGGGTACTCGAATAATAGTAGTTGCGGTAAGAATTTATAGTAAAAGATTTTACAAATTTTTTTTTAATAATGCAATGTGGCATTTAATTTTACAACTTCTTCCAGCTCCGATAATTTAAGACTACCGTTCATAGGGTGGTTGGCCACTCACTCCATAACTGTATATCAAGAAACAGAAGAAGTTATTACAGTAGAGATAAGCTGCAGCTGCACACAAGAATTAAAGTTGGTTGTTTGTCTTAAAAGCCAACAACCGATACTCCCACTATGTCATAATATCGATCTGTCGTTTGAGTTTTGTACACGCGCGTAAGAAAAACTAAAATAACCTTTGTCGTTGAAAAAAATGTCGGTAAGAAAGCATTAATGTCTGATACAGTCAGATTAATAAGGGTAAAACAGGAAGAAAAATAAGGCATTATTGGAATTTTAAAGTGACAGATAATTTGAAAAACGGAAAATAATCGAACGGAATGGCGGTTGAGGAGAATAAAGCATTAAGGGGTGGTAGTTGGGGAAGTAATTAATAAGTTGGTTCTGTAGATATATGCCAATGTCAAAACAGCAAGCTAGCTAGACAACAATTTCTTATTTTTTTTTTTTTCAATTTATTTTCATTAATTTCTTTTCTTTTTTTTTTCTGCACAAATTTTCGATCTGAAAGGAGACGATATTCATCGAGATTCGATCATATTATTTGAGATACAATTTTTTTTTCAAGTATACATTGTTTTGTCACTCTTACTGTTTTACCAATTTGATCAGTTCCTGAACGGCACAGGGTTTTCCGGAAGATCGTCGCCCTCGTCGTCGCCAGGTGGCAATTGAGGGTCTAGTGGGGTCCGGCCGTAACTAGGGCTCGGGAAATTCGGTCACTGGTGGTAAATCAGTCCACGGGGGGCAGAAATGGAATTTCCGGGGCTGGTGGTGCAAACTCGGGGAAACCGAAATTTGGAATATTATTAGGCTGCGGCTATATGCAAGACTAATTCCACTTGTGCAAGACCAAATTAAAATTTTCAATGTATAAATACTATAATACCCTTATTTATTAAAAAAATAAAAAATTCCAAATATGCAAGACCAAAAATTCAAAAACACAAAAAACCCTATCACAAGACCACAAGACCAACTATCATCTTCTCCATCTTCCAAAACTCACAAGACCTTTCTTCTTCCTCCTCCGTTAACCCACAAAACCTAGAAATTCAAAATCATCAAAACTCAACAAATCTTACAAAGATGGCAAGTATGGAGTCATAAGACATCAAAATAGAAGATTTTACGATGGAAGAACCCAAGAATGTATGCATTTATGGGGTTTTTTAGCTAGAATATCGATTTTCCAAAAAAAAATCCCGCGCAAACGAATTCGACATGTACAGGTCGAATTTTACAGGTAAAAATCGACATTTAGATGTCGAATTTGAGGTATAAAATTCGACATTTAGATGTCGATTTTTAGGTATAAAATTCGACATTTGAATTTGTGCTACAAATTCGACATGTCAATGTCGATTTTTACCTATGAAATTCGACGCTTAAGTGTCGATTTGTAGCATAGTTTTTCGACACCTTGGTGTCGATTTTTGTTTTTTTCTCATTATTTGTATTTGGTCTTACATGAGAAAAAAAAAAGTCAATTTAATTTATGGGCATACTTGTCATTCCATCTTAATAAAATAGAATCTTTTGGAATCTTTCTTTAATTTGGTCTTGCACAAGTGGAATGAGTATTGCATATAGCCGCAGCCATATTATTATTATCAGGGGGGCGAATGCGTAAATTCCGAATCCTGAACAACAATCATGGCTAAGAACAAAGAAACTATATTAGAATGAAACATTTTTTCCGGACAAGGAAAATCTTAATTCATACAATGTAATGAAACTTCTGTATTTAATTCGAGTGTCGAATTTACTGCATTAACACCGCTCGACATCGGTTAACCATATGAAAAATTATAAACTACAATCACACATTTATTTCGAGAATCGAAGTGAACGTACGACGGCACAAACTACACAACACGACGGAAGCTTTTTGTAATAATACAAATTGTTTTCAACATACAGAAGACAAATTTAACGAAAAAAGCGATTTTTTCAGGTCCAAAATTCCCGGTTTTTAATGGAGCATTCGCTATCGCCGTGCATGGTAGTACCCTTGTAATCGAGGGTCCATTTCTCGAACGTACAATCGATGAAGTCGTAGTAGCCACCATGGATCGAAAGCTTCCCGCGTACAACACGTTCTTCGATCCATGGATAACTCAGTAAGTTCATCAATGACCTGTTAATCGATTCCTGCAACAACGAGAACGAGATCAACACCTCGTCCTAGGTTCCTTTTTTTTTTTTTTTGAATTTACGTAAGAATTTATGTGATAGAAACACACACACACACTGCGAACAAACCTTTTCACAGTGCTTGCACTGCTGATCAAAGTTGAGGTTTGAAGCAGCAGCTTTCGTTTTCGACTTCGCGGGGCTTCCAACAACCACCCAGCTTCTTATGAAGCTACTGAAAAATATAAATACCGTAGTGAGACACACACACACACACACACACACACACACATATATTTATATTTAATCAAATGAAATGCTATTTGCGGTCACAAAATTGCTATTCGCGGTTTATAACAAAACCCCCAAAACTTTTAAAAATATCCAAAACCCCCCCAAAACTGCAAATAGCAAAAAAAAAAAAAAATCGAAAATTCGAAATCAAGCTTGAAGAAGGGTTGGGCTTCGATTTTTTGATGTAATTTCGACTCTTTTGTGAGTAATATGCATTGGGTAGGTCGATTACGGAACCAATTTCATGTTAAAAATCCCTATAAATCGATTTATAGGGCTTTTTTTTTTCGCAAAAAAATATTCGAACGCCCATCTTGGGCGTTCGAACATTTAGAATTTTTTTTTTTTGCACTGGACGCTCAACTCGGGCGCCCAAATGCAGCTTGCACGCCCAACTTGGGCGTGCACTGCATGAATGGGCGCCCAAGTTGGGCTTTTACGCGTTTGGGGGGGGGGTTTGGATTTTTTTGGGAAGTTTTGGGGTTTTAGTGAAATAAAATGTTTGTTTTGGGAATTTTGTTATAAACCGCAAATAGCAATTTTCAAACCGCAAAAAGCAATTCCCTTAATCAAACCTTGAAATCACTTCATCTTGCAAGCTCATCAAGGCTTTGATTCCTCCACAGCAGCTGTGGCCAACGACGAGTATATTTTCGACCTGCACAAATATATATTACATATATTTACATATACTGCTAAATCGAAAAAAAAGTGTATCGAAAAAAGAAAACATTTGTTCCGTGTAGCTCTCTGTATTAAGTAAAAACGAAAAGACGAGTTCGCGAGATTGACATAATGAGGAACTTCTTTTTTAACTTTCGACAAGAAAATATGCTTACTTCAAGAGAATTTACAGCAAACTCGAGAGCAGCATTTGTTTCCGTAGGTCCATTCTGCATCAACGGAACACGATGGTGTGATGTACAAAAATCATATGTTTCAAATTTCATTACAACCCGAGCTGCGGTTTTTAAGTAATATACCTCGTGTGGGGGCACTAAATTGGCCACGTTTCGAACCACAAAGGCTTCCCCTGGTTGAAATCCTAGTACACTCGAGGGACAAACTCTCGAGTCAGCACACGCAATCACCATAAACTGTACTTTAGAAATGTCAAATTTCTCAAAATTTCTACTAATCATGATCGAGACTTCGAAATATTAAAAAAAATATAATAAATTAAAAAAAAAAAAGTACCAAAATAAAATTACCTTTGGGTATTGGGCCTCGGAAAGCTGTTGGTAGCGTTCTAAGTTGCTCCTAAACAATCCGAAAAATGTATAAACAAAGGCTCGTCTTCGCTTAATAATACTATTAAATCAGACAAACTTACAAAAATTCTTACAAGTATTTATCCTTTTTGAAACCGAGAAACCTATGCTTCAACTCCTTGAAATGATTGGCAGCCTCGTTAGTCACCCCACCGACTTTAGGCTCGTTTTCTACGACCTCTTGAGTTAGGCCTGGAGACTCCATTACAGCCTTTAATCGTACAGTTGATTTTGTTCTGTATCCATTACAGGGGGCAAGCGCACAACATGTAAGAGAGAATGTATCAATATCAGTATAATTACGCAAATTCATCGAGAAGCGTGTACTGTTTATTTAAAAACAAAAAAAAATTAAAATAAGCATGCTTATCTCTCTGGATCAACCTTGAGTGTTGGAATGGAAGTCTTTAATCTTAAAAAGTAAGTAGGGTCCTATAAACCACCATCAAACAATGTAATTAGAAACCCGATGTGCAAGAATTAGGGATTCGAATAAGATTTTATTTACTTAATTAGTTTTTCTGTCTATCGGGCGAAGGAACTCTCTAGTTTTTGAACGAGCATTTATAGCTGCAGTTTAATTACGCACCGAACGACTGAATTCAACCTATTGATCATCAGTTTCGTAAACGAATTCTACGAACTCTGTAGTAAATAAAACAGAACTCGAATTCGAGTGTCCTACATGTCAATTTCAAGATTGCAACACATGCGAAGTAGAATCTTTGTAACACAGACATTTCATCAAACACCATGAATTCAATGCAACAAAAATCACAACACAAACATCTTTGATCATTACACAAATGAAAACACAGGACACAAGATTAGCTGGAAATTTCGAACCACTTACTTGACCGAATCCAAAGTTCTCAACTGGGTTTTCTCCATTGTCGGCGATCTCAACTGGGAGCCGAAGATCTTCCAGAAATTACACCAAAAAAACAAAAAAATAAAATCAAGAAACAATCACAAAAAGAAAAACCAACATACAAAAAAAGAGAGAGAGAGAGGGAGAGGAAAGAGAGCTCACAATGGAAGATTTAGATGAATTCTTGGAGAAATCGGAGCGAGAGAGATACGAGGATTGAAAAACAGCCTGGGCCATTGTTGTAATTAATAAAATCTACGAATTTGAAGGAAAATTGTGATGAATCAGAAAAGAAATGAGTTGGGTTTATGATGGGTGTTGTTGTTTGTCTTAATTCGCAAAATATAATTTAGCGGTGGGTGGGATCGAAGTACACCTGTTTTTCTCCAAGAAAGACGGAGAAAACGATGATGCAGTAATTTTTTTAATGCACGTAGACAATAAATCGAGTGGCTTGTAGAAAATCAAGATTATTATTAGTAGTTATTATTTATTATTTATTACAAGAAAAGTGTGTGTGAGAGAGAGAGAGAGAGAGAGAGCAGTAGTGAATTGGAATATATGTCAAATCTGAATCTCAAAGTGAAACGACCCTTGGGATTTAGTAAAGGCCACTTCTTTCTTGTTGGACTCGGGCTCGGGCCCCGTAAAACGGGTAGGAACGGCTAATGGGTTTCCGGGCCGGATGCGTAAACGGGTCTCGAGACATTTATATTGTATAGGGTTCAAAATTCAAATAATCAAATTCTGAACATATATTCCTTATTTTAAATTACAACAACCCATGAGGTATGATATAATTACGAAAACCCCATTTTGTTTGAGTAATTATAATAAGGATAAACTTCATTTTGCCTACCTGAACTATACTCAACGTATAAAATACCCCCCTCAACTTCAAAACGTACCGAATCAGCCCCTCCGTTAAAATTCCGTCCACATCTCCTAACATGGCACTTTGACCTTTTTAATTGTATCCGTTGGCATGACCGTTGGACTTTTCTCCGACGATTTTACCCCCAATACACTTATACATTTGATGGCTAATTGGATGCTTTTCTTCCCAGTTTTTTTTTTCCTTTTCTTCACAGATCATGCATCTTTTTTTCTTCTCTTTTTTTTTTTTTTAATTTTTTTTTCTCCTTTTCTTATTACTTGCTCAAAATTTTCACGAAAATTCTTAAATTCTTTTTTTCTTCTCTTTTTTTTTTTATTTTATTTTCTCCTTTTTTTAGTTGCTCAAAAATTTCACGAAAATTCTTAAATTTTTTTTTTCTCCCTAAAATGGTGTGCAAATTCCGTTTATTTGCACAAAATAATTTCATTTGAATTTGTGTGTTTGTGCAAATCCCATTTAAATTTTCATGACAATGTTTTAAATTTGCTTATTTAACTCGAAATTCCATTTTTTATACATAATAATTACCCTTTTTTAGTAACACAAAAATAATTTCATATTCTATATCAAGGGAAAATGTCTAGCAGTAGCACAAACGCATGAGATTCTTGTGTTTTTTGTTACAAATCCAAGTATTATGTTGCTAGATTTTCACAAACAACATGCAAATGCCAAAAAACAGCTGCCATTCGAACTGCTAGGACAAGTCAAAATCCCAGAAGAAATTTTGCAGGCTGCCAAAATTGGGATGTAAGTATGTTTTACATTCATTTGAATTCAAATTTAATAATGAATGCATATTTAGATATAAACTGTACATATATAACAGAAACCAAATGGTTGCAACTTTTTTTAATGGATTGAGTCTGGAATTTGCCCCAAATGAATGGAAATTGGACAAGGATTTGAGAGACTCTTGGAGCAAAATAAAGAGAAGATGAAGATAATGGATACAGAGAAATAAGAACTGAAAGCTCACAATCAAGAACTTCATGAAATAGCTCTAAATATGACAAGAGCCAACAAGGAATTGAAGTTGAAGTTAAAGCAGTTTAAAGTCAAAAACAAAAAAACTAGAATGTGATGTGTTTATGTACAATAAGTCGTTGAGAACCCTTTATTTTTGCAACCACATTTATTTTTGCAAACTGCAGTGATTCTTCTTCTTTCATTTTTATCAAAACTCAATTGAAACCCTTTCCTAACTGAATACTGCCTAAGGGCTTTTCTAAAAAGTGAAGAATTGCCAAATATAAGCCCTACTTGAAGATTTGGTTGTTTCATTTCTGATTTTTTATCAAAATAGGGAAATATCTCTCCTCTCTCATCATTAGACTCACTGGGTTCAGATAAAAATTCAGGATCACTTTGAATTTCATTTTCTTCTGCATGAAATGCTTCATCAATGTTAATCACTTCACTTTTTGTATTAATTTCAAGCCCGTCATTACCTACTGGATTTCGACCATCACTTAATGTATCACCTCTCAACAAAATAATTGAAATCAGACAATGAATCATCATCAGACTCACTACCTGTTATTGGTGCATAGTTGGAATCACTGCTATCACTGTTATTTCCCTCCACATAATCCTTGTTACCTCCCTCCCCCATGTGATCGTTATTTCTCTCCCCCAAGTCGTCTAACTCTACCTCAGTTTCATCTAAATCACAAGCTTCAATGAACAAATCAATAATAAAGTTGTTTGTATCAGCATATGATTTGAACAATTCCATCACACCACTATCAGCAACAAGAATTTGCAAACCAAGTGCTACAGGATCATTATACCATATAAGTGTACTAGCAAGATATTCTATTTCTTGAACATACCCAATTATCTCTATATATGACATCACATCAGCCATCAGGATCAATATCTTTCAAACAACAAACTGACCCCCCAACATAATCAACCCCTCTATCAATAAACATCCCTCCATAATTGATTTTGATAGTAAATAGTTGATCTGACATATTCCCTACAATACAAAAAAAAAAAAAAAAAAAAAATCAATAATACAGAAATGCATAGGTGATGTCACATAGTTGAAACAAATATAGAAAAAAAAACCCAAATTCGAATTAAGTAGATATCCCAAAATTGAAATCCCTTATTCACCCCTGAAATTATCCCCAAATTGAAAAGACTAATTCGAAATATGAAAATCGCAATTGTTAATCCTAGATCGAATTAACAAGATATCCCCAAATTGAAATTCCTAATTCCAACCCCTGAAATTATCCTAAAATTAAAAACCCTAATTCAAAATGTTATAATTTCGACCAAATTGAAACGAATTCGATTCACTTTCTCAAAACAAATCCTCCAATACATTTCTATGCGATTCGTAGCTTAAATCAGCCCCAACTGCTTCAAACGAATGCGACTTCTGTAAAACGCCAACGAACTCCAACAAATCAAGTGTTTCTTTGAAGTAGCTCCAACGATTCGCGATTTCTTTCAAACGACAACTTATTTTGGATGGGTTTCAGTACAAGGATTTGGAAGGCTTCTAAAAATGTTTAATTATTAACAGAAGAAGGGTGAGATAAGAGAGCTGAAAGTTGAAATCAGAGAGGTGGGTGAAGAGGAATTTTAGGGTTTTAATTGAAAATGTGAGATTTTTTTTTTTTTTTTTTTTTGCGTTTTTTTGACAAGTGTTGAGGGAAGCAGATTACATCAGTAAGATTAGTTAATGGAGGATATAAAAGTAATTGCACAGTCGAAAGTAACGATGTCAATTAATCTGTGTATTTTAACGTTGACCGATTATTGGGAGGGGCTGATTCGGTACGTTTTAAAGTTCGAGGGGGTATTTTATAAGTTGGGTATAGTTCAGGTAGGTAAAATGAAGTTTACCCTTATAATAACTCCCATCAACTATAAATTTTTTTACACGTTCACCCTTGCGGTTTCAAATTTAGTGGAATCTTCTTGATTATGTGGAATATTATCAGTTTTGTACCAGTTTTATCCCATTCGAGCTCTCCGTTTTGAAGCTATATGATCATAAGATGTGTTTTTTGGCTTGTATATATCAGATTGTGGTGCATTAGAAAACTGTATTTTAACATAAAACGAGTACAAACTAGAACACATTACACATAATCTAGATGATTGTGTTGAATTTGACACCATAAGGATGGAGGTGTAAGAAGATTCATAGTTGAGGGGGTCGATGTAAATATCCAAACAAGAGGAGTTTTTCATAATTTGACCATAACTCCGAGGGTAGTTGTAATTTATCGTTTATTATTTTACAAGTTAAAAACATATATCTTAATCTTTTGGGCAAATTACGGTCACGGTTCACCCATGATTTATGGTTAAATAACAAAAAAGATCAACTATGAACTATGTATTGTTTTACATGTTCACTATTACGGTCTTAAATTTACATATTGAAGATGGGAATTTACGCAAATAATAATATGTGTATAATAATATTCCTCTTACTAAGTAACTCATACTTAATATACGAGATAAGTCTAATCGTTCATAGACAATAATAAAAACGTTGATAATAAGATCACATACCCACAAATTTCATATAACATATTCAAAATCAAACAACTCGACGGTTCCACGTCAAATGAAAATTGGAGAAAGCTAATCCCGTATCAAACTATATGCAATTTATACAAATAAATATTGCATTTTCATGAGAAATGTCATGTAGTATAGCACATATCATGCGGTTTATGATAAACTTATTCAAATAATTAACATATACGCTATCACTTTATTGCATTTAGGATAAAATCATATGTATCATTAACGTAGATACACAAACATAATGAATATTCATTAAAGCATATATATCGTATATGGTTTACTATGCTTCCACACATGAAAATTAAACTATCATGCAATAATCCACCATCATATCGTATAACACTATCAATTTATTGCACAAATTAGATATCTTATAATTAGAAAGCATATCCGATAAATTTTATGTTCGTCAATTCAAAATTTCGTGGGTAGCACCAAATCGTGTCAATATTATGGCAGTGCTGAATGATTTATTCATATCTCCTCCGTCTGAAGCCCGATTTTGTTGATTCAATATGATCCGAATAGCCAACAAAATTGTCTACAACTTTTATGTTTCACGTTTTATGAGATTAGGACTGGATCATGATCAAATTAATCCTCGAAGTCGGAATAAGTGTGCTGTAAAAATGCACCTACAATGGAACCACAAAAATTATTAAATAATATTCATGAATCGCAAAATAATATATAACCTCATCATTATTCTTCGATTCCGTCTTCTTTCACCAAAATTTCGTGCATTGGACATTGGTGAGACGTTTAATATGCGATAAGTTGCATTGGTCACGAACGGTTGTATTTTACATGAAAAGGTGCATTGACAGTTTTGGCACTCTTTCGTGTTTTTATCATAACTCTTCCGTAAGATCTCCGATTGTGAAGATTTAACATGTTCTGAAAAGCCAACTTGATTATCTACAACTTTTGTGAAATGTTAATTTTCCATATTCGGACTTTAACAACTTCGAAAATGGGAAGGAACGTGGACTTCATGTTCTGCCCGAAAATGATTTTTTTTCTCCAATTTGACTTTGTAACTTCTTGATTTTTGGACTATCTTCTTCTACATCTCGTTTACCAAGGTGTGTAGAAAACACAATTTACTAAATCACACAAAATTATTGTCTTAAGATTGTTGTTCCCGATACATAAAACAGGTAGTGATTTAGTAAAATGATGAAATAGATTAGTTGAAATACGAAAAGATTAGCCGAGGCGAGAATACTCTTTCCTTAAGACAATATTGTCCCGTTACGGTGCTTACGGTTATTTGGCAATGGTCTCCCAAGATACAACGGCTAACTCGGCATATGAGCACTCAAAATCCCGAGTACAACGAACGTTACTTTGTATCTCAAACTCTCGAATCGAATATGAAAAAAAATATTCTACGAAGAATATTTCCAGGCGAAAGGAAGAAGAATTCCATAGAACAAAATTATATAATTGAATTAATTTTTATGTTGTTATTAAATCAAACATGTGGAATTTCTATTTATAAGTTTCCAATAGTTGTGATTCATGAACACAACCCTTAGAAAATTAAATAAGTGAAGAGGCACACCTCTTCATATTGTCAGACATATTTGATCAAATATGTGCCAAAAAATATTTTTTTATTTTCATTCAAAAAATAATTTTATTTTAATAAATAAAATTTCCAACAGTGTGTGTGTTGTGTTGCACATTTTGGGTAAATCAAATCTAGAAAGCTCCTCGGTGTATTTCACCGGGTGCAGCATCTAGGAAACCGAGAGAGTTCAACCGTTTAATATTGCGATGAAAAAACACAAGCATAATGTACAAGTAAGAACTTTAAAAGAAACATAATAAATCACAGATGATCAAGATAGAAAGGACGAACATATAATTACATAAAACATCAAGCACCCGATTTTCGCATTGAAGTAACGGCAACATCACTCACCCGTTAATCGACGTATAACAATAATTATTGCTCTAGTTATAGTAAAAAAAATGTATTGCCAGAAAACGGAATAAATGCGCACAAAGAAGCACGTATCCTAACTTGTAAAACCACACAACGACAAAGACTTGGTTCGATTTCAAAATCACTACAACTTACCATATAACTGCACCAAACATCAAGTATCACTCATAGCAACTAAAAACGTAATCATAGAAGCATCGTAATACCTTCTCGTCGATTCTGTTAAGCTCATTTAATGTGGAAGTAATCTCAACCACACAACCGGCAAATTATCGAACAAATTAAAAAGCACATGCAAGAATATATATGCACTCAAACCAGACAAAAAAAACAAGCTGTTCTAACATAATAACATAATATCCAGCTTAAATCTACATAATTTACTACAATAAGCCAAAAATCACGTCAAACGATTAAGTTTTTTTACTACATTAACCAGCCTCGGAAAGCTCAAAAAAGACACAAAAAAGGGGGTCTTACTTTTTTTTTTTATTTTTTTCGATCAAGCCGCCTTGACGGCCTTGTCATCACCTACAGCGTTAAGAATCGGAAGACTGCTAAGAAATTCATCAAGACCCTCAAAGAAACCGATCCCTTCAATATTATCTTCCACGCCATGGCCCGGCCCGTTCCCTTCTTTCTTCCTCGGAGCAGATTCTTCAGCTTCATTACAGAACTCCACATTCAAATCCAACTTCCCGGAACTCTTTACAACCCTACCAGGTTGCTTCCTGGACTCAAACGCCGCCTTAACGGGAATCTCCGCCCTGTCCGAAGACTCAACATGCTCATCTTGCGCTTTCGTATTCTTACCTTTATCGGCAATCTTCACATTTCTATTCGGCACACGTTTGGCCTTTTTCTTACCTTTCTTGCCTTTACCGTTGCGCCAGTCATCATCATCGGATTCGCTCGAAGAGGAAATTTCAAGAAAAGCATCATCGTCGTCGATATAAACCCTAGGAGGAGCCGGTTTCTTCTTACCATTCTGGGGGGAAGTGAACATGGGTGAGAATGGCGTCCAAGATGAAGAACCACCCTTGTTTTTCTCCCAATTCTCCATCGAATAACCCAACGGGAAAAACGCCCAGCAGCAAAAATACCCATCTTGGCCATCCACAACGGGCGGTGGTGAAGGTATCACCACCGCCTGAAACGCACTCTTGCAATTTTGACACCTCAAAGTACAGTCGGTATATACCACAGGATATTCATACATGTAATAGCAATAAGGACAGGCGGTCCAGAAAGTCGACCCCTCCTCCTCATTCGCCGGTGAATCGGATATCTCCACCTCCTCCTCGTTTGCCGGTGAATCGAATCTCCCCACCTCCTCCTCCTCCTCCAATTCTTCGCCCTCATCCATTGTTTCCACATCTACCTCATCCTCGATTGTCAATCCAACATTCTCAATCGGGTTTTCGTTATGAATAGTTTTATTATCACTAACATTTGAGTGGTTTTCTTGGGGTTGTTTCTGTTGATTGTTCAATTGCTCCTGGTTTGGCTCAGAAGCAGAAGCAGAAGCAGAAGCAGAAGCAGAAGCTACATGACTAGTGAAAGGTGCATAATAGCTTCCTTGTGCATGATTATTGAGAGGTGCAGGGTCCGATTTAGGATGAGAAACAGACCCGGACCCGAAAACGAAATTGGTACCCGAAGGGAAGCTCATGAAATTTTGGGGTTCTCGGGGCGGGTGGGTTGACCCGCTAATTGCGGGTCCGACTTGTGTGAAAGCATGTACCTGTTGAACTTGGGGAAAGGAATGCGACGGCGGCGGCTGGGTGGTGTTGCTCGAAGCACCACCGCCGAAGAAATTGAAGTTCTGCTGCAATGTTGGAATGGGGTCACTATAGGGGTTCGGTTGATGCTGCTGCTGCGGCGGCGGTGGCGGCGGCGACGGACCGAAAATAAGCTCTGTGTCGTACAAGGATTTCCTGGAAGGGTCGGAGAGAAAAGACCAGGCATTGACGACGAGGTGGAAAGCTTGTTCGGCGAAGGGGAATCTGTTTTTCCTAGGGTTTAGGATGAGGGCGAGGCTGCGGTACTGGTCGTCGACGAGCGCGGCGTCGCGGCCCTGCTGCGGCGTGAGGCGGAGGATCGCGTACCAGTCGTGCTGGTTGCTCGAGACCCTCCTATCTCCGGCGATGAGCGTGTCGGCGACGGCGAGAATCTCGTCGGCGGTGTGGGCGAGCGCGGGTTCGGAGTCGCGGGCGCGCGTGGCGAACGACTTGCTCCCGAGCAGGTCACGCGCCGACAGCAGCTGCTCCGCGATGGTCAGCCACCGCAGCGCCTCCGTGCGGGTGGCGGCCGCCGTGAAAAATGGGTGCTCCATCCGGTTTCCTTGGTAAACAAAGTGATTATCCATTTACTTCCAGACTGAAGAGCAACAAGGGCAGTGGAATTTGGGGGAGGTGGGTGGGGTTAGCCTGGTATATTACGGAAAAGGGCCTGCGCTTTGTGAGGGATGCCGAGGGTAATAATGGAATTTCACCCCAGGGGTGTGTATGTATGTATATGTGTAAGCATCACCACCGATAAATCGTTTTCTGAGATAGTGACGTCGGAAAATAAAGAGTGACACGCAGTATTGAACGTTTTGCATTTAACACGTTTCATGGAACTACCATTTGACTTTCTTGCGACTTTTCCTCTTGTTTAATAAACTAACTACAATTAATTAATCATTATTAATCCATAAATTAATATTTACTAAATTAATAACTAACATCTTGATGGTTTAATTTATAGAAGTTTTAACTATAAATATTTTAGATCATGAATACAAATTAATAGAAATCACTAAGTTAAATTTCTAATTAATCACTAAATGTAAATATAAATTGACACCAATAATAAAGCTTCACGATTAAATAGAATTTACACCTCTAAAATATCACTTACCCTTTTGAAGTAACAAATGGAACATTTCCCCCCACCTATTTTTTTTTTTTTTTTTTTTTTGAGAAAAACTTATTATACCCTTTCAATAATTAAATAAATCTTTTTAAATCAATTTTATTATTTTAAAATTCTAATTTTAGGAAGAAGAAAAGTTGTAAGGATTCCATATACTAAATCGTGTCACATTAATGAGGAATTGATGAATGATAGGCCCTTATAATCTAAAGAGGCCCAAAATATAGCAACGAATAGGCCCACAAAAGTCCATAAATAAATTAGGGCAAATTACAATCAACTCTCTGAGACAAAATTAAATTACGAAAAAATCCTTATGTTTGGATGGTTACAATCATGCTCCCTTAATTATGTATTGTCTTACACGTCCACTTTTACAATGCCAAATTTACCTATTAAATTGTAAGATAATACATAGCTGATGAGGTGATTGTAATTACCTAGAGAAGATGAGTTTTTTCGTTTAATTTGATCTTAGCTTAGGAAGGTGCCGTAATTTGCCCAGTAAAATACAAAATTTTATCGGATACACGTCCCTGCATTACCTTTGGATTTCTTTTTTTTTAAATTTAATTCATTTTTGATTCGTTCGAAATTAATTAAAAAAAATAAAATAAAATAGCACAGCTGGAGAATCGGGCCGAGGCCCAACTTATGAGTATGCAGACATTTAACTCGGTCGAACCGTATGGGGCCTAGGCACAAACCTTGTAGTGCCTATAATATTTATAATAGTAAATAGCACTTAAAGCCTCTAGTTCCAAGCTTTTGCAGATGACCCCCCTGTTCTCGTAATATTTTTAACCGTGCGAGTCAAATTTCAAGGGGGTCGTCTGCGAAAATAATCACCTTGACATTTGACACTGGCGTTTAAATCTGACAAAAAAAAGTAACGGAAATTTACCTCCATCAACCACGAATGGGTTTTGTGCTTACACTAAAAAGATAAGGAGTCATTTGAAATGCTATTTACTCTATTTATAATTAGAATTTGTAGTAATAAAATGTATAGTTTGAATAGAAATTAGTAGGTAATGTAATAAAGTTGGTGTATGAAAATACGCAATAGATATTCTTGCAGAGATTTTGTAATAAGTGAAACATAAATTAAAAAAGAAAAAAAAAAGGGGGGGAATAATTCCCAAAATCGTAGTCCACAAATTGGTTGTGTCCGTACAAGAATTGAAGACAGTGGGGAAAACAAACAAAACACAATTATCCACCCACAGTTTTTATCCGCTGTCACGCGCCCCCACCACATCCCTTTTCCGTACGGCCTAGTGGAAACAACTCAATTACAATTTACACATACATATATTATAATAAAATAGAAACCAATAAAATGTTTAATCTTAAAAGATTTTTGTTTTAGAATATATAAGAAAAGAGATATTCAGAGTTTGAAATTGAATTTATACTTCTGAGTGAAACTACTTTTCTGCCCTTAAAGCCTTTGAGTTAATCTTTACTTAATTGGTTGTATGTTGCTTCTCCACGTCATCTTAAAATAGCCGACTTATCGTAAAATTGCAGAGTCTTATATTACTTTAAAATCGATCAAAGTCGTTTTGAGATATAATTTGATCATATATATGGTTATGTTTGACGTTGTATCAATTAATTAACTAGGATAACTAATGGGGAATGTAAATCGTTGGTTCACTGCGCACAAGCAGGCGATATTGAATGCGTAATTACCTAGAAAGTTGTCGAAAGTTGAAGTCTTTAAACGAAGTCTTCAGTTGTGGCTCTTACTTGAAATCCTATGCAGAAGTCCTTATTTGAATTCGTAAGCCTGGGAGATAAGCATATGTAAACTAAAGGTTGATTCGGTTGAAATCCCTATCAAGTTATAGTTAGCTGATATGTACGACGAATTCAAAGAATCTCACAAAACTCAATCGGATGAAAAATAGCATAATAACAATAACTTAGATTAATGACCTAGTGGGCTTTATCGTTAATTTTACGAGATTACTGTAGTCCATTAATTACATGAATTATGCGTTTGGGCCCTCATTTTGTGGTCCGATGTTAAGAATAATTGATGAGTTATCGGGACGGCCCAAATAGGTACACCAATATTTAATTTACCATTAATGATCTTTCTCGTTGACATTTCATAATGAATTGTTAAAGTCGAGCCAAAAACGTATTAGTAATTCAGTACTTACATGGCCGGTCCCGGTTTCGAGAGGTTTAATGTAGAAGTTGAAAAATACAGACACGAAGTTTAAGTTTATTACATTTTTGAATTGCAAAAATGTCAACACACAGTAACCTGTTGGTAAGTACCTTACACCAATAATCTAATTGGTCATGGGTTCGAGACATCAGGAGGGTAGAATCATCGGCTCCATAATTATATTGTAATATAATGAACGGTAACTGGTTAGGAGAGTCGTATTTCTCGGGACAGTTAATGAATCAGTTTATAATATGCTATACTAACCGATGAACACATCGTAGATCTTTACCATTTATATACACACAACAAACACACACACATACGGTAAATGGCTAGGAGAGTCGCAGCATTTCTCGGGACAGTTAATGAATCAGTTTATAATATGTTATACTAACCGATGAAACACATCGTAAATCTTTACCATTTATATACACACAACAAACACACACACATTGATGTGTGTAGATCAGCCTACACCGAATGTAGCATAAAAGTAACCGGTCCATGTAATGCATGACCACTCACAAACCGATTCAAGAATCAAGGTCAACGAATATCTATGGTCAACATACTGATTCCGAGTCTAGTCACGGGTTAAATCGGTCCGTAGTCAAATAACCCATTTCTCTCGCTCGAGAAATAACCCATGCATGTATTCAAGTGGCAATGGTTACCCTATTTCTATATTATATATATATATAATAATAAAATAAAATGTCAAGGGTTACCACTTGGGTGCTATTCTCTTTTAATTTTTTTTAATTTTAATTGTAGCTCCTCAAAAGGAAAGTCCTAATTGGAGGAAAAATAAAGCTCTCTTATCGAAGTCCCAGAAAGGCAATTTCAAGAAATTGAACTCTATTTTTATTTATTTATTTATATACCAGTCAGCCTCACCCCCTGCCCCCCCCCCCGCCCCCCCCACCCCCACCCCCAATAGGCAATTTCCCAATTGCTGCTTTTAGCTCATTTTTATGTGCTGCAGCTCAGATTTGTGTGTCTTGCTTTCTCTCTCTAGGGTTGGCTTTTCTCTCTCTCTCTCTCTTCTGCAGGCAGTGATGTCATTTCTTCCCCGAAGTAGCAAAATGAAACCCAGTTTATAAAGCTTTGTTTTTATGTATAATTAGTATTTATTATCCTCTTCTAAGTTCTACCCCTCCCCAGACCCCCCACCCCCCACCCCCTCACTGCCATTTCTAATTTTTAGAAAAAGATTCTTTCTTGGTTTTGGTTTCTTTGATTCCTTTTTTTTGGGAAGAAGGGTTTCTTCTGCTCTGAGATTGTGCGTTTTGTACTTGAAGATATATTGTTTTGTTTAATTTTATCAAAAACCCATATCTCAAATCTCTCTCTCTCTCTCTCTCTCTATCTATCTCTCTCTATCTTTCTCTCTATAATAATAATAATAGTGGTGGGTTTTTTACAAGTTGCAGTGTTGTGGTGGTGGGTGTTGAAGAAATGGTGAGGCAAAAGATTCAGATCAAGAAGATAGATAACTTGACAGCGAGGCAAGTGACCTTTTCAAAGAGGAGAAGAGGGCTTTTCAAGAAAGCTCAAGAACTCTCCACTCTCTGCGATGCCGATATTGCCCTCATCGTTTTCTCCGCCACCGGCAAACTCTTTGACTATTCCAGCTCAAGGTCCTCTCTCTCTCTCTCTCTCTCTCTCTCTCTCTCTCTCTCTCTCTCTCTCTCTCTCTCTCTCTCTCATCTCTTATCCATTATCATATGATGTTGCCTTGCCTGCGTACGATTATAAATTCAAGAACCAAAAAGAAAAAAAATGTAATGTAATCTTGATCTTTTAATATATATGGGAAGAAATATGTATATATATGTCTGTACTGTATATGAAACGTAGCCTCGATTTGTGTTTTTTCCAAAAAAAGAATCTTGATTTATGCTTATTGGGGAGGAAAAAAATACTCTTTTTTTTTCTTAATTTTTAATTTTTAATTTTTATTTCTTATCAAATCAATTAAATTATATTCTGAGTAATTGTTGTGTGTGATTTTATGGTGTAGTTGAGGTCCCAAGTCACTGTCCTCTTACCTGCTATTTCGTACCTTCTGTCTTCTCATCTTCAACATAATTTATTAAGGGGGCCTCATTTTCTTTTATTTTCCAGAAAATTAGTAAGAAAGGAAAAATAAATGAATATTTTTTGAGTATTTGAGGATAATTTTATTACATTTCCACTTGTGTGTGACAGTTCATATTTTTGTGTGTGTATGTATTTTGTGTTTGTGTCTGTGTCTGTGTGTTATATGTATTGCTAATGAGGAAAAACAAATGGTGTTTTAGAGTTAATGACAATATTATGTATGCATGTTAATTAAATCTCTATAATACAATTGATTAATTCCAAGTGTTTTAGATTATGGATGGAATAAAATTTTATTTAACAGTTTCTAGTGTACAAGTAAGTTTATAAAAGATTGATTTAATACTCTATAAATTATAATGATTCATTTATATATAATCAAAATAAACATGTCGGATTATTTTTATGATTTAAAAATTAAAATTATGCATATATACATGATACAGATATACATAAATAATTAAATATATCCAACATAAGTTATTCACATGCTTTTATTATTTTGAAATAACAGTGGTGTATTAAATTTTTAGAAAAGACCATATGTTTCGATATATCTTAAACGATAATCGAGTTTAGTGTGTAGCCCTAAAAGGCCAAATTTACTTGATCTCGAGTTCAGGATCGGAACTCAGCCGTGTATAATTTTTGGCAGGTCTGGTCTTGATTTTTTTTTTAATTATTATTATTTTTAAAGATTACGAGGACTTTTTATAATTTTTCTTCATAGCGAGGTCTGGAATAAAGCTTGACAATTATTTCGTTTATTTTCAAGAAGTTGAACATATAGAAGTTACTAAAATATTCGTAATCCACATTTGGTTTTCTTGTGGTTTCTGAAGCATGATGGAACTCATTCAAAGGCATAACGTGCAATCGGAAAAGTCCAATAAATTACTCGGTAATACACAGCACCTCCATATTCAGGTAACGAAAATGATCGATATGGAGAAAAAAAACGAACGAGCTTATGTTTGCATGCAGGTCACAATTTAAATTTTATTTAATTTAATTTAATTTTTTAGACTGCTAGTAGCAACCATGCAGTGCTCAGCAAGGAACTTGCGGACCGAACTACCGAGCTAAAGTACGTATAATTATATATATAGATCACCGTATAAACATTCATCAAAATGTGGATTATTCCGTGTTTTAATAGTTACTAGAAAATCGCAAATTAAACGAAACAATTTTAAATTCTTTTTAGGCAACTTATGGGAGAAGAGCTTCAAGAACTTGGCCTGAATGAATTGATGAAGGTAGAGAAATTAGTGGAGGCGGGATTAAGCCGTGTCGGGAAAATTAAGGTTTATTAATTTTTGCTGATTTTTTTTTTTAATTTTCGGTTATTTATTAATTCTGCTGAATATTCGATAGCAAAAATTCTAATTAAATCTTTCCCTTCTTATATAGAACGACAAGCTTTTGAATGACATCAGCAAGATGAAGACAAGGGCAAGTTTCGAAATCTTGAAAAAAATCATCACGCATTTCTACTAATTGTCCGATTCTTGAAATAATTAATTAAGTTGACAAAATAAAAATAAAAATGCAGGAATTAGAACTAATGGAAGAAAATGAATGGTTGAAACAACAAGTTGAGGTAGGGTTTCCTTTTTTTTTTTTCTTTTTTTTTTTTTTTTGTATCGGCATTCATCAATCTCGATTTTTATATATAGTACGTATTTAGATATAAGTGAATGAATTGTAGATGCAGAAACCTGGATGTACGAGAAATACAACGGAACAAGGAAATTCGGCGGAGTCTATCACTATTTGTCAAAGCTTAGTCCCTTGTCTTGAGGCGGACAAAAGCTTTTCGGATACTTCTCTCAGGCTCGGGTATGTATGTATGTATGTACGTATGTATGTATGTATGTATGTATGTATGTATGTATGTATGTATGTGTGTGTGCGTTCTTTAAATTAATTTATTTTAATATTAATTACGACAGGCATGCATGTCTAAAGAACATTACTTAAACCTAGTCTTGAATTGCAGATGGAGTACATTACTACTGATATTGAGGGCTTATATTATATGATTTATGCATATATCGAATCTGATGATTATTCGTAAATTAAGAGGGCGTTTGGCTAAGCTTATAAGCTGTTATAAAGAGTTTATAAGTTGTTTAAAAGCTTATAAGCTCTTCCAAAATGTTTGGTAGTTTTTTCTGAAAAAAATCTTATAAATAAAAAATAGGTTGCTTGAGAGTAAATAAGATATATATTTTATACAAAATACCTCTACCCAAACACTTTATAACATCATTATCCAAACACTTTAAAAATTAATTTTAAAAATAAGACGTAACAACTTATCAATAAAAATAACTTATCAGATGTAAGAGCTTATCAGCTGTTAGAATAAGTTTAGCCAAATGATCCCTTGATCCAGTTGATATACGATGATATCTTGGCTAGGTTACCATTGCTAACTTTGCATTTTGAGATTAAACTAACTTGGACATCGATTTTTTTATACGAGATTGGCCTACAACCGAACCCAAGATCATATGAGATTCTTTCGTATTTAGAATTTGGGATGATGTAATTTTTGTATTTAAGTAGTATTTGTAATATTCTTATGTGTGAAACTGGGTGTTATATATTCATTTTTTAATTTTTTGTTTTCGATTTTTTCCCCTTTTGCTTTGTTTTTCGATCGAAATTCATAGGCGTAAAACTCAATTCTAAACCTCTCATAATAATTTGGTGTATTTATTGTTGAGTCCTCAATCTGATAGTGTGTATGATCTTGCAGCTTACCTTCATCCAACGGTCACTGAAGAGAGGAGAAAGGCAGTTCATGAGAAGAAATGGGTTTTCATCCCCCCTTTATTTAATTTACTATATATATATATATAAGTTAATTCATAGTTTTTTTTTCTCTCTCAAAATGAAAATAAAAATGTGCCTTATAATGTGACCTTATAACTTGTAATTGTACTAAATTTACGTCGTTTGTGTATGTTATTATCATCGATTTTTGTGAGATTTGGAATTCAAGCGTCTCTTAGATGCACAATCGGTGAGATGCATAGGGGGGTTTTTAACATTTGATTTATACGCAACGAGCAATTCTTCCCGTGTGATGCACGAGGATAACATTGCAAAATGGAAGATTTTTTTTTTTATTTTTTTAAATATGATTATTTAATTGTATTAAAAAGTAAATTACATCATATTAAAATAATTAGTTGTGAACCAGACAAGAAGAAAATAAATTAGCGAGAGAAAAATAATTAAAATAATTTTTTTCATTCTTAAGATAATTAAAAAGATTTTTTGCTTCATTCTTATGATAATTAATATAAAAAAATGCGTAAGAGAGAGGAGAGAGAAATAGAGAACGAGGCCTTGGTATATAATATGAAAAAACGCTACCAAAGCGAAACATAAATAAAATATAATTATTTAGTTAATCAGGTTTAATCTCCCCAATCAAACGAGGCCTTGGTATATAATATGACAAGAAAATTTTACAACTTTGGTTGATATAAGTGGTAGAGTACCATGTACCCCAGTATCATATAAAGAATAACAATTAATGATAATTAATGATATGAATTTTTTTCATTACCATAAGCTTAAGTTACGCTTAGTACACAGTAATAGTCATAAAACTACGGTAGCCCTACTAATGGTCATAATATGGTATTGAAAATTGTATAATTAATATGGTTTTGAAATTCTAAAATACTCTCTCTGTTCCACAATAACTGTCTCTTTTTTAAAATATTTTTATTCCATATTATCTGTCACTTTATATTTCCAATACTGGATTAAATACATTTTTCCTGTTTTAACCTTATTAATGAAATTCTATTCATTAATTTTCTCATATAAATTATTAAATATTAAAGGTTATTTTAGTCATTTTTATATGATTTTTCTAAAATCAATATATATTTATTGAGTTTCTTAATCTTTGTGAAAAGTGAAAAGTGACAATTATTTATAATATTTTTTTTGACAGTTAGTGTGAAACGGAGGTGTAATAAAAATAACTCATTTGTTTTTGTCAATTAATGTAAATAACTATATTAGGGGGTGTCAAATGTAATAAACCCCAAATAAGTTTCCCACTACAAGCTGATAAGCAATTTAAAGTTTCCCATTATCAAATTTCACTGATCGCAATGGGGAAGAGAAGAAACGCCAGGGGCAAAAATTACAGCGGCGGTGATGGTAATACCACAAGCAGCAATAGCTATGGCGGAAGCAGTAGCAACAACGATAAACTCTCGGCGTTCGATTTCAACGACGAGGATTTGCGCGTCGAGCAGGAAGCCAGCAAAACCCTCGTCAAATACGGTATTAAAAGCCCCGGCAAGAAACTCGCGCAGAATCGTGAACCCGTTGATAAATACGTTTTTCTCGAGTTTTGTAAGTCCATAATCCCCTGATCAGTTGTAGTATTGTGTTTTATTTGACGTTAAACAATGGAATACTGCTTGTTCTGTGATTCTGTTATCCTTTGGGAACACTGCTTGTAATTGTATGCTTGCAATAATGTTGTTATAGTGATGGGGATTTGCTTACTGTTACGTCGTGAAAAAAATCGTTGCTGTTTTACCGGAGACTCGAAAAAATTGGGTTGGAATTTGAATTTGGTGTTTGTGTTTTTGAAAATGTTTGGGTTTTATATTTATCGAAACTCGATGTGCGTTTCTCTCGGAGCGAAATTGGTTTAACTTTCTGATAGAGGGGTGATTCGAATTAAGGTTTCTTCTATATGTGGAATCTGTGAATGGTAATTTGTTTCGGTTGTTGGACACCGATACGTGATTATGCTATTCTATGTAGTTTTATTGATTTAAATTGTTAAATAAGACTTACCAAGACTGTGAAAAAGATTCGGGGATAGTTGAATGTATCCTATCTCCTGGACAGAAGTTAAGCCCTATTTTCTCTACATATTGCTTAATCGAAAACAATGTAGAAATTTATATGGTTTAGGTTGGATGATTGAGAGTTCTTGATGCCAAATGGTATGATGAAGTCTAGAAGGGATAGGGTATTTATTAAGATTATTTGCAAATAACTTGTTATCAATATTTTTTTTATATTCAAATCCTAGTACAAACGGGAAAGTAGGGGAGAGGTAAGATTTGGCCCTCTGACCTTGACTCTAACAATCAAGGGCAGATACCAACTCTGTTAATGAGGGTTGTTAACTTCGTCTCGAATTCTAGTCACCTGTCGAGTTCAAAGTAGTGCTTAGTCCATCTGATGAATACTTCATGAACAATTTTACAGTTGCGCAAGGACCCACTCAACAAAAGGATTCTGGGAAAGGCAAATCAGATGTTCATGTTACTGATTGTGACTTGCAAGATAGAATATCTGGGACCGATATCAGCATTTCATCTGGTTCTTTGAACTGTGAATCACGTCCCTTTTCCTTCTCAAAACGTCAGCCATCTGGAGCAAAAACCTGCGCAGCAGGAAGAAGAAAACCAGGAGGCTACGCAGCTGGCAAGAAGCATGTAATACAGTTCAAATAGCATTCTCACTTTGTCTCTTCATGTATTTGACTTCTGAGATCTTTTTTGCGTTACAGATCGATCCATTGACTTTATATATCCCACTGCGATTCATTTTTACTTTTTTTGTATGCAGAACAAGGCATTGTATGTAGATTCCGATGAAGATAGAATAACAGAGTTGAGATTAAGTTCTTCTTTCGATCTAGCAGATAATGATGGTTATTTCCTTATCATATAAGAAACAAATTTCATAGTTGTTATGGTGATATATTTAGATCTCGTTTCCATTTTGTCAATTTATGCGTTTCTTGGCTCCTTTTCAGGTCCATTGGAGGAACAATCATCAGAGCATGATGCCAATGATAATGACTGTGTTAGTGTATGGCTGCAAAGTAACTTATGTTAGTTAAAGGATGTGGAGTATATACACAACTGAAATTTTGAAACCACAAGTCTTCCTTTTATTTTCCTTACGTTATCTACAATAGAAATATCACTTAATTGATATAGTATTACAAGTATGTATGTGAATCTGTTCTTCGTTATGTATGATCTCTCTCTCTAGACACACACAAGGGATACATTTGTTCTTAATTTATGTATCTTTAACGTTTTGTTTTGCAGGAAAAAGTGGTGGTTCTTGCTCCCTATTATGTTAAATACGGGAACATGCATTATAAAAGTTGTATCCTGACTTTTTCTCAGAGGTGCATCAGACTGGAGGGGTCACCCCTTCATAAGAAAAAGAGGCCTTATTGTCTTGAATGGCCGACCTTTGATATTTTGAAAATTGAGCATCAACAATGTGAAAGTGTGAGTGCAGTTGATCTCCCACATGCACTTTTACCTGATACCCATGTTGATGAGAAATATAGATTTAACAATATTATTCCTGAACTTCTGAACTTAGGTTAAAGCCAATATTGTGAATCTACAATTTCAATCGAAGGTCATAAATGTTGATGAAACAGGGAATGCGGATTCAGGTTTTGCACTGTAAATTTGTCATTGATTTTTTCAGTGGATTCACTTCTCCACCTTTTGTCTATCAGTACATGGAATGAGTTGGTTTTCAACTTAGGGTTAAGTTTTTTCCCTACTGGGTGCAGGTAGTGTGGAACTGGAGTTTGTTGTTCTTGATGATCTACATTGGTCCGAGAAACAAGAAAACATTAAATCATTGGATCTAAAATACAACGCTGCTTGGAAGACCATTATAAGGTAAATTGCTTGTTGGTAGAATACATATTTCTTTCTCTGGAAGCACTATCCTTATTTGGTTATACTGTCAATATTGGGGAATCAGATTAGTTTGTCTTAAAAAAACGCTGCTCCCTAAGATCACTATCGAAGATAAATACAAATTTCATGTTATCTTTCAAAAAAAATGAGAAGTCACTGTGTTGGATCAGGGTTAAAAGGGAGGGAGATAAAATAGAAGCTGTGTATCAATGAATCAACAATTAGGTTTAGATTCTGGGAGAAATGGAAAAGACGGTTAGATTTAGATGAAAGAGAAATTATAACTGACTATGTCATATCTTTGTCTTCAGGTTTTTCTCTTGATATAAATCAATTTTAATTTTTAAATATTTGTCATTCAAATTTCAGTGAGTGTTCTTTTAAAGATTCCTTTGAAGACATAATATATCCAGATGGCGATCCTGATGCTGTCTTCTTAAGTAAAAGAGATATTGAGCTATTGCAGCCAAGGACTTTCATAAACGATACTATAATTGACTTCTATATCAAGTAAGTTTACAGTCTGCTTAACAAAAATCCTCCTTTCCATACTTTATTAGTATTGGTTGATAATCCTCATTTTCCTAATTCTTCGATACTCATCTTGGGATGTGGATAGTAACTAGTTTCAAGTGTGAACCAATTGTCCATGATTATTATGTCTCTCCTATTGTTTTGCAGCATAGTTGCAGATTTCAAACGTAGCATAACTTCTGAGTTTATTAAATCAAACGTAGCATAACTGAAATATGTAGTCGAATGGCAGATACCTTGTAACCAAAATCAAACCAGGGGAGCAGCACAGGTTCCATTTTTTCAACACATTTTTCTTCCAGAAGCTTGTGAATGTGAATCGAGATTTATATAGAGATTGCGAAGGAAGAGATGTTTTTGGATGTGTTCGTAAATGGACAAGGAATGTCAACATTTTTGAAAAGGATTACATATTTATACCTGTAAATTTCAGGTAAGAAATACTGTTATGGACCTTCCAAGATGTATATATATCTATGTTGGTTTTCTAAGGTTGTTGTTTCCCTCTTTTTGTAGCCTGCATTGGAGTTTGATTGTTATATGCCATCCTGGGGAAGTTGCTAATTTACGAGGCATATCTCTTCACGTAATCCTTTTCATTTTCTTTAGTTAGTGGTTGCTACTTTCTCTGCTTGACATTTGGATATCATTGTACAGACAAAAGCGTGGATGCCTCATCTAAGGGGCCGTGTATTTTACACATGGATTCTATCAGAGGAAGCCATAAAGGGTTTGAGGATCTTATTAGAAGGTAAGCTGTTGGTTTGATGCTCTAGACAAGCCCGTGTCATTTCCAAGAAAATGGAAACCACCCACAGTCCTACTATTGTTTATTTCACGTTAACGGAAAAATTTCTCTTCATCTTGTCTGGCCAAATCGTAGTTATTTGTAGCACAAGTGGTCTATGTTTGCTACTAGACTTCTTTACACTCCAAAGGTAGTAATTGTGAGGATAATTTATTTTCACAATTGCCGTGTGATTAGTTGGGGTTTGGCTAGATTCAGCCCAATATAGAATTTCCCCTTAATTTAATCCAGGAACCTTGACTTGGAAATTTTTGGTGGTCATGGTTAATTAGCAAGGGTATGAAGTGTAATTTCCAGAACCCATATATAGAAATAGTTGGACTTTTAGATACTATCAAATATCTGTAATCATTGAATACATTCACAATGTGCATGTTTTCAATTATTAGTTAACTGGAACGTGTAGTGAGTGCTATTACTAAAATCTGTTGTTTCAGTAAAGGAGAGCATCGATGGAAATAAATTCATCACGTTTTCTCTCCTGTGGTTAATGTAATGATTTTCTTCAAGTTAATCTTGAATTATCGGTTTACCCAAAATTCGCTCTTATATGATTATTTTTCTCCAAGTACCACTTTCTATAAACTTTCACCCTTTTTTGCTTGTGGATTCTTGGTTAGGTTTATCTAGCATCAGCAAAAGAGATTGACACATTAAACAACAACCCCACTCTCAACTTCTTTTCTTATGTTAAAATATAGTTATTTATCAGAAGAATGGAAAGAGCGGGGGAATAGGCATGAAGAAGATATTGCCACAAAGTTCTTGAATTTGGATTTTATCATGCTTCAGGTTCTATTACTCAGCCTAACTCCATCTTTATTACTTTTTTCCAGATAACTTGTCTTGCATTAAATTGAATAAACACTGGATGATGTTTCCGATATTGAGCAGTAATTGACGGCATGGAGACATTTTCAATATGCCTTGACACAGAGGCAAATGAGGTCTAAATGTTACAGTTTGGAAAATTAACCAATTTTGTTTTTTGTCGAACGGATAATGTAACATCAATTTATCTTCCGTCGGATGTCAATATAGTTTACTTGAAATAGATTTGAGGGGTGGTTGGGAGGCTAAGTCATGTGAAACGAAGTTTAATTTTGAGGTCAAAAAGCGGGAATTGAGTTAAATTGTGAAGAATACAGACTGGAAAGATTTTAATGTAAATGTGCATGTGAAACTTGCTAAAAAGCAACCAGATACTGTGATGCATCCTAGTTGTGCCGGTCATCATTATTTAATTGCAGATTACCGTTACCCATCCCCTCTCATTACACAAGGCAATTTTGTTGGTTGTAATTTTTTTTCCTTCCTTTCTGGTTGTTTTGTTTCAGTTGCCACAACAAGAAAACTGGTTCGACTGTGGCCTTTTTTTGCTTCATTATGCTGAACTTTTTCTGGAGCAGGCGTCAAACCTCAGTGCAACTAAATATCTTGACTTTGTAAGTTGTTCATCTCTTCTGGTACTTTGGACATAGATCAGGGGAAAATTGAATTTGTAAAATGATTCCTGCATTAAGTGATCTCCGACCAGTTGATTCTATTTTCGGAGTAGCTTTATTGGGATTAGTGTGGTCACTGTTCGTTCATTTTATAGTTCTCCTGGTCAATGAGTCAATAACGATTTAAAGCAATACCTGCATTATTTTGACTAAAATACGACCTCTGTTTACATTAGACCTTTATATTGTTATAGCATCGAACATTCATGTACATTTTCCATATTTATGGTATTACCACTGTATGTTCAACAATATGTTTTAAGTATATTTATTACCAAAAGTTCTCTCTCTCTGCAGCTTAATGAGGATTGGTTCTTTCCTGCCGAGGTTTCTCTCAAAAAACGCGACCATATCAGAAAACTGATTCATAGAATAGTCGAAGACAATGCTCTGAACGATCCTCCGACCACTCGTGACAAATGTTATCAAAGTGGTACAGACGAGGACGACAGTGGTGTAAAGTTTGTTCATCAAACTGTTGCAAAAGATCAATTATGTCTTGGTATCAATTTAAACTCGTGTGATGACCTCGAAAATTTAATTGAGAAGAGAAATATTGACGAGTCAGTCATTATCGAAAATGTTCAGCCGTTGATGCCAGATAATCAGTTCAACACCATGAGTTTGCCGATCAAGGTAAACCCTCACAAACAAGCATTTATATTTCTATTTTCCATGCATAGAAAACTCGGATAGAGCAAAATATGCTCAAAGTTTGACTATACATAATTTTCAAACCATTTCATTTCTTGATTGTTATATCTCGAACAGGAGATACTCGACACATCAAGCAAACACGAAACTGAGAAACTAAGGCCTTCACGGTATTATAGCCTTCGTAGTTCAAGGAGAGAAGAAATAAAGAAGGTTGTTTCGGAGGAAGCTTCTAGAACTTGTTCTGGCGAGTCGAGTGTTGTAATTGATGTGCAGAATGAGGAGAATCGTGTTTGTGATACTCAAGTAAAGTACGAGAATTCTTCAATGTCGAGTGAGGATCTTTCGGCATGTGTTGTTGAGGATTCCGAAGAAGAAAGTGAGATGGAAATAGCCACCATCAGAAAGACTAGTAGGAGGAGGAGATCGATTCGATGACCAGTTCGTCTCATTGTGTAAGGAGGAAATTATGCAAATCTTGGGAGGGTATAGTAGTCATGATATGTGCAGGACCATATTTTGAGAGGGGTTTAGTCACTATATATAAAAAATCATCCGTTCTTATATATATATATATATATATATATATATATATATATATATATATATATATATATATATATGTATATGTAATATATTTTGTGTATAGCTGTCATTTTGGCGTGGTGTAATATATAGCTTTAGCAACCGCCTATCTGGCATTTTGATGTGGATCTTTGTTCTAGTAATGAATTTGGTGACATCCAAAATCTAGGAGTTCAATATCAAAATTGATAACCTCTTTGCAACATTCATCTGCTTGTCAATTAAAAAAAAAAAAAACCTTGTACCAACCAACTAGATTAACATGAACTAATCTTGATATTATTACGGGAATTGCTTTTTGCGGTTTGAAAATTGCTATTTGCGATTTATAATAAAATCCCCCAAAAAAATATTTTATTTTACTAAAACCCCAAAACTTCCCAAAAAAATTCAAAAACCCTCCCAAAACGCGTGAAAGCCCAACTTGAGCGCCCATTCATGCACGCCCAAGTTGGGCGTGCAAGCTGCATTTGGGCGCCCAGTGCAATTTTTTTTTTTTTTTTTTTAAATGTTCGAACGCCCAAAATGGGCGCCCAAGGTTCGTACACGCCTTGGGCGCCCATCTTGGGCGTTCGAACATTTTTTTGCGAAAAACAAAAGCCCTACAAATCGATTTGTAGGGCTTTTTAACATGAAATTGGTTCCGTAATCGACCTACCCAATGCATATTACACGTAAAAGAGTCGAAATTACATCAAAACGAAGCCCAACCCTTCTTCAAGCTTGATTTCGAAATTTCAATTTTTTTTTCTTTTTTTTGCTATTTGCAGTTTTGGGAGGTTTTTGGATATTTTTAAAAGTTTTGGGGGGTTTTGTTATAAACCGCGAATAGCAATTTGTGACCGCAAATAACATTTTATTATTATTATATATAACAAGTTGCATTTTTTAACAGATTAGAGCATCCACAATGCTCATCCCTGAAACCCCTCCCCAAAATGTGGATCCCACATGCCACATACACGGGAATTTCTATGCTACAACCGGTGAATATAACCATGCACCCTAATTAATAAGATTCCCACTACGGGTTCAGTTATGGCCCAATAGGTTTTAAAAATATAATTATAAAATAAATAAAAAAGGACACATGTCAAGAAAAGAGCCACCCGGTGAAAATCACCGGGTGTAGCATCGTATTCCCCCACATACACATTTAAATACCTCTTTATACAACGGGTCCTACTTAAACACTCCCCAAATTACAATCTACTCCAATGGGTTGGTTTTCGGTCCTCCCTAAAATGTCCTCAAATATTAAATTCTAATAAAATATTCATTATAAATATAATAATTATGAAATTATATTTTTATTTTTTTTATATTTATTTAGTAAAATATATAACTATCATCAATTTATATTAATTTTTAAATGAAATTATTTTAATTTATTATATATAATGTTTTATTAAGTTGTGAGTTATTTATTTTTGTCTATTTTTATAATTATATAAATTGTATTTACAAATTTAAAATATTTACAAATAACATAAATTAACATAAATATTAATAACGTAAAATATTACATATCAGCACTCCTTTACCAGAAGAAAATATTTCCCCTCCTGAATATGGTCGAGATCCATCAATTTTAGTGTATTACATATCAGCACGCCTTGACCGAATTCGCAATCGAGGAACTAATGAAGTCTTGAGATCCGATCTTATGAACCATTTATGGAATATTATCTTTGGAGACGAAGATGTTTAATTTTTTTTTAATGAATTGTCTTATATTCTACGTGTGTTGTATTTGCTTTATTTTTTGATATCATATTTATTTATTAATGTTTGATTTTAATTTAGTTTTGCTTTATTTTTATTCTTTATTTCTTTTAATACTTTCTTAAATATAAGCATTATAAATTAATAAAATAAATATTATACAAATAACATAAAATTATTTTATAGTAAAGTAAAATAAAAAAGAAATTTATGGATGAAATACATATTTTTTATTTACAAAATAATAGCTACAAATGATTTCATAAATTATAAAAACAAAGAAAAAAAATAAGGAATCCAACATGCAAAACGTAGGAAATTTATAAATAAATTACATGTAGGAAAATAATAAATAAATCACATGACCCTGTTCACATATTTGAGTTTATTTATTATGACATGTTTTAACGTGTCCAGGTATGTATCTATATTATTTTATTAATGCCGGCCCTGCTACAAATATATAATTGGCTGACTACCCTAACCTAAGATCAAGGGTCGCTTTTGATCATATTTAATATTTTCTTTATATCTAGTGGGTCAAGATTCCATATTGCAAATAATAGATTAAAATTCGCAAATAAATTTTAACATTATATTATCTCGTGTAACGATATCGGTCAACTTTGAAAATGGACTGATTCATTGACATAACTCAACGGCGGGATTCAGTTTGTAGCATTTTGTAGTACATTGGGATGTATGCGGCACTGGTGGTAGTACATCGATGCAGTCGAAATACGAGAACGATCGCATCTATCAATAAAAAAAGCCAACTATTGCATTCATAAATGATCCAACCTCCCCAAGAAAATCAAGCAAAAGAAAAACCAAATTTACATACAATCTTTTTTTCTTTCTTTCTCATAAAAAAATGTGTAGTAGCATTACAATGCCATGTTTGGCGATTTCCAACAAGCCAATGAATTATCTTTCTTCTTCTTTGAACAAGAGGAAAGATTCGAAAGCGTGCTTCGTATATTCTCGTACTGCAACAAGATCAGTAAGGCCAAATTCATGTTCGTCAATAAAATGCATTAATAATACCAATGGCGGCGCCGCCGCCGTTTGTGGTGATCAGAGTCCAACTATTGTTCGTCGAACCGGAAACTACAAGCCTCCCCTTTGGGGTTTCGATTTTCTTCAATCACTGAGCAGCGAGTACAAGGTATATCGTATTCGACAAATGCACTTGATCAATATTAACTAGTACTCGATCATTAGGGTTTCTTTTCTTTCTTTCTTTTTTTTTTTTTTTTTTTTTTAATAATTTAATGTCTTTATATATATATATATATATATATATATATATATATATATATATATATATATAGGAAGAGAGATACATGAAAAGGGGTTGTGAGTTGAAGGAGAAAGTGAAGTTGATGGTGGTGGAGGAACAAGTTATGTCAATGGAGCCTATTCAACAATTGGAGTTGATTGATAATTTGTATAGGCTTGGTATTTCTTATCACTTTGAGGATGAAATTGACCAAATCTTGACTTGTTTGTATCAACAACATTACCTTTTAGAACGCGGGAGAGTTCCGCGCGGACCT